ATTTGGTGTTTAAATCTCCAACTTTCGGAATATGCACTCTACCATAATGATATTTTGTACCAGATTTCTCATAGAGCTCAGAAATTGCAATATAAACCTTTCTTTTACGAGAGTTCTACTAAGTATGCATGGTGGAGTAGGGTATCACATAGTCGGCCCGCCCGACTTTTGAGATTTCCTTACTGGTTTTAATCTAAAAAAATGAATTCCTTCTGCAAAACTTTGAAGAAAAAAACTCTTCGTATTACACCGGTTTCGTTTAGGTTATTGTTTTGTCTACCACTGTTTACTATGTTCACTCAACTCTACTTGGCTCAAAAGCAGTGACACGTCATGTTTATTATAAGTAAATGTAGACAAGTAATAACCATAGTACAATAATTTTCAAGGTAGAGCATGGAAATCACAAGAATAATTTTTTTCACCTTTTAATATCAGAACATATAGACTGTTCTGTATGTGAATATATTGCTTTAAATAATATACAAATTTTTAAGCTCTGCTGAACTTTCACAATCTGTTTTTATACTCTCAGCCATATGGCTAGCTATACCCTCAGCCTTATGGCTAGAGAGAGTATATATCATTTGATACGGCCAAAACGTGCCTCATCTCTTCCAGATTTTACCACATGAGCAACGTCGAAGTGTTCAGAGCATACAGAAGACGTTGCTTTAAATTATACCTGACAAACGTTACTCCATTCTGCCGTCGACCCTTCATCCTTTGGTACCGAAAAAAATATACCCCTTCCTGGAACCTCCTTCTTTCTGCATACATATTTGGCAAATTCTCAGTTTCAAATTCACAGATTTTCCTGTTTATTTATAATTTATATAGATTTGTCTTGAAATTCCTTTAATAATTTAAATTATTTAGAAAAATTTTGACAAAAACGTCACAATTTAGATTTTGTATTCATAGAGCGAATTCAAAATATATTTTGACAGAAAACTTGGTCATCATATGGTCTTACTGGCCGACCTTATATAGGCCTTGTTTGAAGTTACAAAATTCTTGTTTCACAGTTGTACAGACTACAATAGTTGTATTTTTAGAAGCAAAAAGCTGTGCTGTATGCCAACATATTTCGATTTAACTTATAAAAAATCCAAGTTTTCAGTTTATTTAATTTTGTATGGCAAAACATCCTAAATTTGTGAAGATTTAGCACATAAATATACTATTTTCTTGATTTATATCAAAGTCCAAGTAAAAAGGCTTTAACTCTTTGAGTTCTACAGATATAAATAAGAAATGGAAATATCTGCCTCAAAAAGTTGAGTTATTGCACTCTTTGGTTAAAGGTTGTAAGTAGTAAACTATATAATACTCCCACTCTTCGAGCAATTGAAGAAGCCAGCCGATGACTTAAGCCAGTCGAAAAAGCGTTTTAGGTATTCTCACCTTAACATTCAAATATAATAACGCACATACAAAACTTAAGTTGTAAAGATATAGGATCAAGTGTAAGTACTACTGGAAGTGTGGGAATATAAAAATGTTTGGAAACAAGGCGTAGTGTACAATAAGTTCCTGCGAACATTTTTTTTATTTTATAAAAGACATCTATTAATACGAATCTTAACTCTGGCGATTTGTAGTTTGAATGGGTTCGTGTCATTGACATAATAAATATTGTACTTTCCTACGCCAATATTACAGTTTGATTCCCTTTCATTCATTTGGGTGCTATAAACCCGTATCTGAGATAAATAAATATATGCAGCAAAAACATAAAAGAAAACTATACGGGCTTTAATTTGAAATATTCCAATCTCCAATTTTTTAGCGACATCTATGATTCTAATGTATACATGTTAGCGTATACTAAAACCAATAGTTTATCGATAACAGTGCACAATACCATTTAAACTATACATAAATTATCACGAAAATGTGTATCGCAGTTGCTCTATTCCAGAACCGGTAATATGGTGTTTCCATTGCACTCTACTCGTTGTGTGATCCCTAAGGTGGGAACACATAGAACAAGTTTTTTACTGGCTTAAAAGTGAGCATGCATAAAACGCGATAAAATGTTTTGTACGTCCGTATTTCACAAATACGCCAGGTCCATGTCTTAAAGTCGATCAAACTTAATTTTTAAAATCCACCAATTGGGTTATTTTCCAATTACATTTTTTGTATTATGCTAAATTCATTAATTATTAAATATCTTCTTAATTCCCCATACAAAATTTGCTGAGCGAACAAAGATTTTTATTCTTTGTTCCATTCAAATCACTCTCAGAACTAAGATGAAATGTGTGCCATCGCTAACAAATGAGAGCAGTTAGCGAAAAAATAAATTATGACATTTAAAAATTAAAAATAAAATATTTAATAGAATTTTAAAAATTTTTGGGAAAACTTAAAATTATGAATGAAAACTACAATGTTGAATAGCGTATGTGCATTCAAACGAAAGTAAATTTTGTTTTCTCTCTCATCCGAGGTACGTATTTTGTTCACGATTTGAAATTTCCACAGAAAACTGGAAACAAAAGAGGCAATATTTTCATATGTTTGTATCGACAGAAAAAATGTTTGACAAGTGTCTCTCCAGCAGAATTTAAAAATAGAAAAATACAAAAATATGTTCAAAATGTCAAAATTTAAACATGAATAAAAATTGTAAAATTAATGCTATATTAAATCTTTGGGAGAAAAACAATAATTTCTTCTATTCATGTTAGCGAAAATTTCATGTATTTCCGTATAAATTCCCATTAAAATCAATAACAAAATTTTTGAAAAAGGAATTATTTTACTATGAGTTACGAATCGTGCCGTATGAACGGATTAATTCGTGTACCTAATTTTGAGAGCGAACAACGTTGTTCGGTTTCCAATGGAAACATGCTATTATCCCAATACTCTACAATTGCTCTCTTCCAGAACCTGCAAGAATCTACTATGTTTGCAATTTTTTCCGATATCATAAAGGGAAATTCTCATGTTAGCGAGAATTTCATGTATTTCCGTATAAATTCCCATTAAAATCAACAAACATTTTTGAAAAAAGGAATTATTTTACTATGAATTACGAATCGTGCCGTATGAAAGGGTTAATTCGTGTACCAAATCCTGAGAGCGAACAACGTGATTGAAAGTGCAATGAGAACATAGAATAAGGCGGAGCTACGAACTGATTACAATTTTTTCCAATTGTGCCGGACTTCCGCCAATTCTGTGTATGTGTTTAATATTATTAAAAAATCGTGGTAAAATTAAGAAGGTAAAGCCATTTCAAATAAGCATTTTCTGTAATTTACCTTGTCACATTTCACTACATAAAAACAGGTTCCCATCTCTGATTTGTGTATGTACAATAGATTTATAAATACAAATTTTGACAATGAGATGATGTCAAATGAATAATTTTTGAAAAAAAAATTGTAAACATATGATTGCATGACTTTACCTCCCTGATTCAACCGTGGAAAAAGTAAAAACAAAATATTTTCAAAATCATTGATTAAAATAAACGTACATTGCGGGCATGGTAGAAGAACATCAACGCTTGGGAACATTGACAAATGAATAATTTTTGAAAAAAAAATGTAAACATATGATTGCATGACTTTACCTCCCTGATTCAACCGTGGAAAAAATAAAAACAAAATATTTTCAAAATCATTGATTGAAATAAACGTACATTGCGGGCATGGTAGAAGAATATAGGTAGATGCATCAACGCTTGGAAACATTGATATGTCAACATTTTTTAAATGTTTTATGGAAAATAAGTGGTTTTTTAAATGTTTTTTTTATACGACGCAAAACAGAGGTTGTTATAATATGAATTTTCAACAATTTTTACAAACTTTAATCATTTTTCATTCAACATTTTCAATTCCAAAATCGGTTTGACAGTTCATTGTCCCAGCAGCTGTGTCGATGCGACTACCTGTATTCTTCTACCATGATTGCGGGCGAGCATTAAAGATATTAACCAGTTTTGCTATGGAATTTAAAGATTGAACTCTTTGGATCGTAGCTATGAGAGAAATCCATGTATTTCATTCATATTTCGTGCTGTTGAACTCATTTTCAAAATGACGAAAAATATTAAATAATTGAAAACATCTTGTTGCACATTATTTTGAATAATACTGACTGAGAGCATGCTGTATTTCTGTAGTTTTATGAAGCTGTTCTGCCTCCCTATTGTATTTGCACTTGTCCAGAATCTGCAATAATCTACTAGTTTTGTAATTCTTTCCAATATGATAAAGGAAATATCTTTATGTTGTAAAAAGTTTTACATTCTTGCAGTACAAAATTATTCATTTGACGAGATGTCAACCTGTTTTATATGCAGTGAAATATGACAAGGTAAATTACAGAAAATGCAGAGATGAATATACTTATTTGAAAGGACTGCCTTTTAAATTTTACCATGGATTTTCCATTCATAATATCGAAAGAAAAAATTGGAAAAAATAATAGATTCTTTTAGGTTTTTGAATAAGTATTTGGTGTGGACCATATGTTTACAATTTTTTAAAAAAATATTCATTTGACAACATCTCATTATCAAAATTTGTGGTTATAAATCCATTGTACATATACAAATCAGAGATGGGAACCTTTTTTTTTTTGTAATGTAAATTACAGAAAATTTAGAAATGGGAATTCTTAATTTTTACCATGGTGTGGATTTTCGTCGATCAGAAAATTGTATATGCGGAATTAAGAATTTATTTTATAAGTAAGAATCGAACAGAGAGCGAACCACTATAATAAAAATTTGTATAACAACTGGTCTTTTACAAACTGCAAGAATTTACAATTTTTTCTACGATAGCCGATTTTGAAAACAATTGCAAAACAAGTAGATTCTTTTAGGTTCTGGAAACGTTGTTTAAAAACCTATAGAAACTTGCTATTATTTAGCACGGACATTCCGTGAGATAATATCGATAGTAACACACAGAAATCGATAATCATATTATCGATGGGACAACAACTCTACAGCTGTTGCTTTGTTTATTTTGTTGTTGCAACCTGCTATCTAATGCATTCAATTCAATAATGCAAGTGGATGTTGAACGCCAAGGAAGACGCAATTAATTGGGAGTGTGAATTTCAAAGCCGTGAAATAATAACTTCAGTCAGTGATTAGACATATTCAAAATATTGAAAGAAGTGGGCAATCTGTGAAGTGTTTGTCAAACAAATCTAAAAGATAATTGCGCGAATGATGTTAAACTATGACACTATAAGTGACGAAACCCAATCTTTGGTGGACAACCAACAACCGACCGCTGTGACAGACAACGATGAGATTTATGCGGGCGGATTCGTCGATAATGGAGGAGAAGTTGCAATTGTTCCCGCCACAAGCACTTTTCAGCAACCGGAGAACGACTTTCACAATGTAGAACTACAAAGTCATGTACAAATGTCCGATGCCCCCAATGACAAATGGAACTTTACATATCTGGTTTTCTATTTACTCGGTACAGCCACCATGACTCCTTGGAATTTTTTCATAACCGCTGAAGATGTAAGTAGCGAACATATTATGTTTGTGTTTAAAAACACTATCTTCGATGGAAACTTTTCACCATTATTTGGTTTACACAGTGAACATTGCAAATTGTTTCGAATGATTTGGGTCACTTATACAACTATCTATCGGCTACGACTGATACCGTTCAAGCACTAACGATTACGCAAAATACGGGCGTCCTTGTTTCTAGACGCAACGATTCGCACAGAAACAACATGGGCTTGATGATTATTATGGCCTATTATTAAAGTAATCCTCAAAACAGAATCCAGTAATAAAATATTTGAGCGTGATACGACACTATTAACGTTTGATATTGAAAAAAAAAATATTCCGAGGAAACAATACCCTTTGTTGTGAGTGTTGTCATATCGTTCGCACTTACAACCTCCGTACTCTTATAATGCCTCCTAAATGCTGAGAGCTTCTTATCGAATTTGTTTACTTAGCTTTTGTTTCAATTCTGTCAAAAGAACATTTGCTGTGACTAATCAACTTTGCATTAGCGTTTTTTTAACGCCCCAAATATCAATACACACAAGAATTTAAATTTAAAAAAAAAATAGTTTGTACGAAACTGTTTTGCAGTTCAGTACCTACCAACATACGAAATATTTTGAGTTCAACGAATTTTATTTAACCTTTTGAGAATATTTTAATTCAATAAATGTATAAGCGCCGACATTTTGTTTGGCGATAGATTATTTCACTCAGATAACCCAAACTAAGTCGTTGAAATATGGAGTTTATAATGCTTTTCCGAAATTGAAAAGTGTGGGTAACAGAGGAAATGTATTGGGATTAATTTGGAATAAGACAGCATATGTATAACTCCGGGGAACTGTAACAAAAAATTCAAGTATTAACCAAAATATTTGCTGATTCTGAGATATTTTTTATTCATTAATTTTTTAAAAAGTTTCTCCCGATCCCCTAAACACTCTGAATGGTTTGAACTCAACTAATTAGGAAGATAACTAGTGCTATTATACATTTACATTTTTTTCAAAATGATGCTTGCTGTTTTTAAAGTTCTTTGTCAAAATCTATATTCATAAATCCCATAGAATAGGAACATAGGGCAACGACAAGTGTCGTGGAACAATGATTTGGAACAACAACCCAATGGACAAGTTTTAGTAGCTCAGCTGAATTAAAATACAAACAACACACAAATACAATACAAAACACACTTGACACACATATTTTCATTTCACAATTCATAATTGCCGAAAAAAGTTGATACTTCTATTACTTTCAACAGGACGTCCGTACTTACAATTAAGTTATAATAATAATGCCATCATAAATTTATTGTATGTACACAAATTTGTTATGGGATTGTGCTAAAAAAAGGCGTAATTTGTTCAGATAATTTAGCCGAAATATGGATCATTTTCTTGTCCCTTTACCAATTTTTTGACATTAATTGTAATTCGCTGATGCCACTACCTATTAAAATGTAAATGTTAAATATTTTTTTGTTTTTTTGGTTCAATAAAAATTCCTAGGCGGTTTGCAATAATGAAATTACATTGTTTGAAACTGTTTTCTCAGCATTTAGTTCTGGATATTAAATGAAAAATTATATAAATTATTTTTCGTTTTCATAGAACATCAATCCAGCGTTCCCGTCTGAACTTGCCCCTTGTCAGTTTGTTTTCGAACATTTAATTTTTCACTATATACTTTTCTAACATTGTTATTTATATTTTTAAAACACAAAAGAAAATTGCCAGTGCGAGCAATTTTTTTTCCATTACCTTCCCAGGTAAACTTGTCTTATAGAAACTCGGACTTACACGTTATTATGATTGACGACACTGTCACACACTATACAAGGCTAGACGCTGTAACATAATGGGTAATATTAGTGAGATCGTACAGCTATGAACTTAAGATTATTATTCTGTCAAAAGTGAACATATTTAAAAATGATTCTGAGGCTTTATTTCAAAACTTATGTAACTGAATTCACTGCAGAGAGGTATTTATATCCTTTGAAACACTGTGGTGTAGAGTATTATATCTTTCTGCATTCATTAGTAACAAGGAGAAAAAAACGATATAGGCCCGTATTTCCTTTCGGTGAATCACATTCTGGATCGTCCGCCTGTTCGTGTATTTTTATTGTCCAATTGAGAAGAAATTGTGCATAATTTGTTTGTTTAAACCAAGGATGAAACCTATTGAAAGGTTGCTCAACTTCAAGGAAACTAGGGAAATGCAACTCTGTACTGGAGTCTTATTATGTCAAATAGACTTTTTAAACATGCAACAATTGGTTTTGTTTATTTAATTTTTTTTCACAAAATTCTTATATTGAGAAAAATCCACAAAACTTGGATGGAATATTGGTGCTTCTCCACAAAATTTAATACAAGATAGTAGGGCAAGATTGTTTTTATCCCAAAAATGTGCATCTGTAAGGGCGCCAAAAGGAAAAAAACTGTATGTAGGGGGTAGCTTTGTTCTACCTTCTGCAATTGTGCCATGACTATTACAATATCGGTTACATTAACGTGAAGTATGTTCTGCCAAAGCGGAGTTTTTTTTGTCGAAAAAGACTATGACAGGCGTTTATTCACATTTGGTTATTATTATTCGTATTTGGATAATTTTTTTGTGATTTTATGTAAGCTACACATATTTTTGAGAATATATAAGATAAAGTATGTTCCTTGCAATAATATATAAAATGGTTCACTGAACTCTACTTTGTATTTTCTTAAAATACAAAATTACATTGTGTTCCCTCAAAAATTATTTCTAGTATTGGATGTACAAATTTCGAAATGCCACACTCAATGACACAAATCCCGTAAGTGAAGAACTGACGCCAATGCAAAAGAGTTTTTCGTGTGATCTAACTTTGACTGCATCGATATCTGGTACCACATTTTTAATACTCAATGCCATCTACGGTCAAAAGGTTTCACTGCGTATACGTATGCTTGGCACGCTCTGTATAATATTAGTTATATTTATAATAACTACAGCATTTGTGGAAGTAAATACGGACAAATGGCAAGAACAATTCTTCTTAATAACACTACTATGTGTTGTTATTATAAATAGTAAGTAATGCTCATCGAACCGTCCGAGCTGTTAAAATGAACCCTATTTCTGTTTTAATTTTCATTAGTATCTTCTGCTACCATGAGTGGCGGTTTATTTGGCATTGCCGGGTTGTTCCCATCGGAATATATGACGGCTGTGGTGAGCGGGCAGGCTCTAGGCGGTATTTTCACAGCTTTGACTTTTATAATGGTTTTGGCTTTTGGAGCTGCTCCTAATGCAACGGCATTTGTATTCTTTTCCATTGGCATTGGCCTAATATTCATTAACATTGTCTGCTATGCCATTGTGGAAAGAAAAGCATTTTTCAAATACTATGTCGAAGGTGGCGACAAATTCAAAATTGTATACGATGATCCTACTCAAAGCCGTATAGTCGATCGCGGTGTAGCCCTTGAGCCAAATGTACGAGAAGTATTCAGTAAAATATACGTCCATGCTGTAACGATCCTCTTGCTCTATGCCACCACACTATCAGTGTATCCATCGGTAACAATACTTATGCAATCGGAAAGCTATGGACAAGGAAAAGCTTGGAATGGTTTGTACAAAACTTGTTGCACGATCTTTCAAGGCATATGTATGTATTACTATATTTTCTTGTTTTTCTTTTAGACATTTACTATATGCCCGTTGTTAACTACTTGTTCTTCAATTCGGGCGACTATTTCGGTCGAATTATTTCTGGAATATGGGAAAAGGTAGTAATTTAAATCTAAAAAAAAAACATTATTTATAACAAATCGTATTTTAGCCCAGACAAAATGTGCATACCGTTTTATTGATGGTCGTCTTCAGAATGATATATGTGCCATTGTTTTTATGTTCAAATTCGACCCAACACATTTTTCTTCCAACCATAATTTCTTCGGACGTGGCTTTCATTCTAATGATAATAACATTCGCGTTATCCAATGGTTATATTACCAATATTCTATTGAATATGGTTCCAAGGTATGTAAATAATTGTACATGATATACGCGAGGGAACATTGCTAACTTTGAATGTTTAATTGCAGATGTGTCATGCAGCATGAAAAGGAAATGGCTTCATCAATAATGGCTGCATCATTGAGTTGTGGATTGGCTTTAGGGTCCATGATCACCATGGTTTTCGTCCAAATGTTATAAATATTCGTTCATGTTGCTTTTTTTATTAAAATCCAGAGTGCCTTTACTTTAATGTGGAGACTTATTGAATTAATTAGAATGAATAGTTTTCACAAAATAGTCTTAAGTATCATATAATAGAACATTTTATAATGCATATCTCGAACAACGATTACCATAAAATATTCGAAAGGCTTGATATTTGTTATTCTAGACCTTTTAATTTAAGTATTGTACCATAATCTTACGCAACTAGTAGAGTTTTTATCTTTATTTGGTTATTAATATTACAACTTTTTTATGATGTACCTTTTACTAATATAATAGATTAAATATTCTTTTTTATGTTTGAAATAAAAAAATATAATACAAAAAATTCGTTCTAATCAGTTCCGAAATTAGGATTAGGAAATTTTTAACCTGGCAAATTGTGAGGATCTTTCCATTAATTTTCAATTCTCACAAACAGTTTTATACATGAAACTTGGTTAAACACTACAATGAATTATATTAATTTGCATTCATTGGCAGCATAAATTTTCATTTCTTCTTTTACGCCAATAGCCAGATGATGAATTTATGTATGAAAAAATCTGCTTATATATTTATGCATTAAGATCCTGTGATTCAACTTCGAAATTAAATTAAATGAAACCATAAATTATTCTGTCAATAACTATGTTAAGCGATTGGATTCACTTTTAAGATTGAATCTTATGTAGCTAGAATACATGATATGTACATAAACAATAAAAGCATCACCTAAAGTTCGGCGTTTCGAAATAAAATATTTACTTCACCCATAACGGTTAAATGTTTTGTCCTATCGTATTACCCACTTACGCTATGTCTCTTAAGCTACTAAAAGCTACTAAAAAACAATGTTTTTGCATTCTCATCATAAGTATACTTACGTGACATCCATATTTATTATTCATACCTAACAAGATTCAATTTCTATTTCTTTTGAAGAGTTAATTTTGTCGTTATAATGCATTTCTTTCTTTTCGCTTTGTCCGCATCAACATCGCAACTGCGGTAGGTATCATTGTCATTAGTTTCAGTATCAATTATCCTAGGAATATTAAAAATTTGGAAGCCTCTATCTCGATTTCAATAGACAGTCAGACCTGAAATTCTATGCTGAACGCAGCCATTACAAATCAACTCCAATTTCTGAAATGAAAGTTTATCGGTAACCTAACTTATGTGGTGTATGTAGTACATAGCAACATGCGAAATAAACATTTAGTATAGAAAATATTCATCGAAATAAATATATATTGATCGTGTAAGGGATTTTATTACTTCAACCCGAAGAAATTATAAATGTGTATTTTTATGTTTTTACGTAATATACGACAGCGCAAAGAGCGTTTGGTTGCAAAACATAATCGAGTCAATATTTTTCTAACAAAGGCAAGATGTAATTGTCAATGTCATTTATTGTTTCTAAGCCAGATAAATATTTAAAATATGCATGTCGAGAAGAAAAGTAGACGACATTAGAGGTGTGGTATTGCGTTAAAACATTTATTTAATTGTTACAAAAAAGCAAACAGACAAAGTAATAAGTTAGATCTTAACAATTATTAACACAAAGAATCTAGATCATAATCACATACATTTTCATATACAGGTTATAGTATTTAACACCATAGCTAGCACGCGTGACATGCTTAGTTCGTACTATTAAAAGTCAACATAGTTTGCAGTTGTAAACTAGTTATACGTAACATTAGCCAGTACGGTACCCACAGTTCTATTTCATATTCCGAAGGTACATATTTCAGAACAATATCTCGAGTAAAAATAAAAATTAATCTTGAAATAAAAACTGAGAAATAATAACATACATATTTGGTGAAAAGTTAACGTTAAGTAATATAGAATCAGCTCACTCCATTCAGGAGTAGGTCCGTCAATTGTTTTATTCTGTGTGTACCTTTCGAGACTTTTAATATGGAGATGGATGTCAGAACGTCTTCACTTATTTTAAATGTAGTGTATTAATAATTAAAATTTATTTCTGTTCGCAATGACTATGTTGATGTATTTTAGAGGTAAATGAATGATGATAATGCTGCCTTTTTAGTAAACTAATAATGGCGTAATCAGTATGAGATACGCCGCACAATACAACTCAAAGACGGAGGAACTTTTAGTTTTTCTTTTATCTTTCGCACGCTCTCAAAAATAAACGTGAACATTATCCGTGTTTATTGTGCCTGCGTTGTAATACCAACATTCTCGGGTAATACCAACATCTAAACTTATAATCATCTCAAAGAGAGATTTATTTAATTGTGTTTCTTGTGGTTAATTTAGCACTTCTTAAATTATTTCAGATTCAATAAATTATAAATTGTGATTCATGTATTCGAATAAATAAATACGTTAAGACATTCAAACAAAGAAAAAGGAAGCATCATCTGAAATTGTGAGATTCGATTTATTAACTTTTTTTGGATATAGGACTAGTTGTTTAGCTTGTTTTGCTTATCTTAAACTAGAAAAAAAACGTAAATTAACTTAAAAAGTATTTCGTTAAATTTCAAAATTACAACCAAATGTGTTTTTTGTTCTTTTTGCATTCCATAGTGGTATTATAATTAGGATACACTCTACATGTGTTTGTGTTGCGTTTAATATTGATTTATGAAGAGTGTTCCAACAATGTGCATTACCAAAGAGAATATACAGCGCATCCAGTAACTAAGGAGTAGCATATGTTTTGAAATTACCTAATGAGCAATGGAGAATTTCATAGCGGCAGTTGATCCTCGTCGCAACGAGAACAAAAGAAAATAACGTTCTTTCTTATTTTATAAAAATGTCATTAAGTTCAACTCAAGCCAACTTATTTTCATTGCATTTTCAGCAAAGTTGCACTCGATGTTTGTTATCTAATCCTGTACATCATTGATTTGTGTGGCTTCCTCGCCAACTTGTAATTTTAATTTAATTGACAAAGAAATAAATAAAAAAAAATATTAAAAATGCCCTAACAATCAGAGAAAAGTAAAATAATATAATTTCTTGCTAAAAATGCAATTGATAAAATTCAATTTGCTTTGCTTTTCCTTGGCCTCCATTCTTTTAATCTTCTATTTTTTACACCACGAAAAGAACTATCAAAACAAAGAGACTGTACAGCAATCAGATTTTCTACACACCTGTAAGCAGAAAGTACTCGCTTTACAATCCTTTTTTTTGTGGGGTGAAATACCAAAACTTGTGGTAAATTAAACTCGAATGCATTTTGCTGTTGTGGTACAATACCATACACAATTTATGACTACAACCTTCACAAGATGTACTAGACTTACAATATCACTATGCAATGATTCGTGAAAAACGTGTCTCTCCCTTGCCCATTGCTTTGGTCCATTAACAAATTTATCCTAGACCCAACATTGTGTTTTTAATAAATTTTTTTTGCCATTGTTTCAGAATTAAAACGAAGGTATTCTGCTAGTCCCCCACATTACTATGAGCCACTGTATTTAGTAATGCATTGCTCTACATTCTACATACTATATTCATTAACATATGTATTCTTTGAAAGGTTAATAACAATGTGTGGGGTATCTTATTTGAAATTAACAATTGTAACTAAAATTGTTGTTTGTTTTTTTTTTTTTTTTCTTTTTCGAATAATTATTTTTTTAGGATTATAGTTTTCCACCTACAAATTGTTTTCTAATACCAATTCCGATTATTTGTCAACTAAATTGTCTAAGTAATAAATACTTTCTACTTGAAATAACTATGAAATTGCATAGTTACGTATATGCCTACAACAACTTTGTCAACCTACCATTACTTAAGATCTATAAAAATCAAATGTTGCAACGATTTTAACTTTGCTCCTTTAAAATAGGCATAATAGTAATAATAAATAGATATACAAAAACATAAGTACAAAGTCGAACATAATGAAAACTTTCGAAGGATTACCTAACATGGAGGATGGATATTTTTGAAATATCTCTTTTGGAATCTCCGTGTAGAGTTCAGTCTGAAATGAATATGATTTATCATAGCACGCAAAGGGATTGAGATTACATACAACTTTCTTAATACTAAAGTTTCGGATTTAGGTATAAAAACAAGAGCAAGGTCAAAGTCAAAGTTCAGTGCAACTCTACTTTCAAAACGGAGTCGCGGCACATACTCGGTTATGTGCTATAATTATTGAATGAATATTCACCAAGAGATTATCATAACATCCGGCTCGATCACATCAAGGGTATGCCATTTATGTAGTAACACCGGCGGCACTATTAGTAATACTGGTGTTTGAACGCGCAGGGGAAATCGCAGACAAACGATTTGTTGATCCAACTTGTAGGTTCATTTCGTTTCCCATTGCTGCTCCACTTGACGAGGTGTTGGCGTTTTGGAAGATTCTTAGGAAACCGTTGGTTGTCACACATGTCCGAGATTCAAATTCTTTTTCCATTATTTGCAGTGCCTAAAAACAGATAAGGTTGGTTGATGTGGTTCACCTTTAATGTGATTCAGTTGCAATTACCATCGTTTTGTGTTCCGCGAAGCTGTTACGTACTAAGTCATGTTGCTTGCGCAACTCTTCGGAGCGTTGTTCATACACATTCATCAAGCGAGATCGTTCTGCTACACCACGCTCCACCACAGAACTGCGTACTTCCCGTTTCATTCTGTGTGGGATTAAAGTTTAAAACATCAAATTATTCTAATTGATAATTTGAATGGGAAACATTGTCCGGAACTTACCGCACCAACTCATCTTTATCTTTGTGAACTAGAGCCAAGTTTTCTACTTCTTTCTTTCGAGCTACTTTCAACTGATGCATTATCTCATTATTGACTCGGTCCAATGATGACTTCAGCTGTTTGTTCTGAGATTCTTGAGAATTTTGCAGCACCTTTTCGGCAACAGCGTAAATAATTTCATGGTATTTCCTTTGCAGCTCCTGGTACTGCAGCACGTTCTGTCGGCACGCCAGAAGCATTCTCTCCTCAATGCTGGCATCCAAGGCTGTTACAGCCTCTCCAGCGCTTTCTAACATCTCGCTTTTTTCACCCACGTCCCTGACGCAGGGAGGAACTTCTACTGAGGACTCACTGTTTGAAGAAGACAAACAAGATCTGAGTATGTGAAATAAGAGCGACATTAGAATAGTCTAGGCGACAAGAGATTTGTACTTACAGATTTTTGTTGCTAATACGTTTTACCAATTTGCTGGCGAACTTTGTTTTTTTGCTACTTTCCAAAGAACTCGATTTTGAACCGCTGATTTTTACCTTTTCTTTGTCGTGCTTCTTACGCAGGGACTCCAATTTCTTTTCAAATTCCATGCGCTTCTCTTTGACGCTCTTGTGCTCCAGGATCTTTTCCAATGGTTCTGCGGACAACGACTCAACATCGAACTGCGACGATTCTATCTGTTTGATTGACGTGGAAGTTTGTGCCGTAGAATCCAACGAATGCTGGTGTTGAATACTTTGCATAGCGTTGTTTGCAACCGCGTCGCCAACATCGCGGGCATTTGATGTTTCCGTGCTCGTTGCGGCCCCAGTCGAGAGACTCGATCTATGTTTTGGACTAATTGTACTAGACTCTACGGGTCGTAACTCCTTCTTTTGGCCACCTATTTGAACGAAAACGACTTGGGTTGTTAAAGTTTTACCATCAAAGCAATGTTGGGTTGTGTTTGATTTGGTTTGAGTAGTGGAAGGGTAGTTGTAAGAAGTTTCCAGTGTTGTTATTGTTGTAGGTTCGTTGTGTAGTGTGTGGTATGTTGGGAGTTCAATAAAAATAAAACAAAAATATTAAACAAAACATAATTATTAAGTTAAAAATGTAAAAAGGGTGTAAATGCGTTTAAAATAATGACAAAAATTCGAAGAGTTATATTTAGATTCGCTATTGGATGTATCGCCTATGCAATGGTCCCCCCAACAATGTCAAAGGATGCAGCATAATAACATTTGCAAGTACTGAATTTTATAATTAAAAAAAAACATACTGAAGCTAACCAAGAATAGTAGATTTTCTACCTATATTTGGTTTAGAATGATAATTCAATAAAAGACTAATTAATCAAATTCTGGATTAAACTGTGAATTAGTAATATAGCATTGTTTTATACTATTTGAAATAAAAAAAATTAACAAAATAATATTTGTTTACTGAAATACCATATGCCGACTACTGGCAAATAGACATGCCGAGCATTGGAAAATGGTGCCGACTACTTGCAAAAAACTACTATTTTAGTAAAATTGCAAATTTTCCCAATTGAATAAAAACAAATTCAATTTTTGTTTTTTTTTATTTCGAAAAGTAAACAAAATTTGGAATCTGAACAACTTTATTTTTCTGCAAGTTAAAGATTTCACTCAGAATGTTGAAAGATTGAAATATCGAAAATCTTAAAAGTGCCGACTACTGGTACACTTACCCTACATTAACGTAGACTCCAACCTTGGCGCTTGGTTATATTTACATGTGATCAATATGGAGCATATCGGCCTTCTTTACCCGGTACCCTTTCCATAAAATGTGGTTCCACTCTTTCTAATTTCTCCACACAACATTTAAAAAATCCTAAATTGCAAGCGAGTGTAGTATGCATTGTACACCGAGTTTTCTTCGCTTGTGTACGTATAATTATTATTAAATGTTGGTACAATTTGGTGGGAGGATTCTGTACGCATTCGGAAATAGAAATACCAAATTGTAGACAATTTTGTTGAAACGCAAAGTAGTACGGTATATAGAAATATTTTGTTTAATATTTCTCCCAACACATGTTAATAATTATTTAATATATCCCATTATTAACAATTTCTGTAAGAAACGTCCAAAAACTCTATGGCTGATCTGTTGTGGGTTGAAATTTTTGATAGAAATATTCTTCGGGATTATACTTTAAGCACAGCCGACCACAATATACATACAAAGTAAGTATTAGGAACTCCTATTTGATTGATCGAGATACTAGCGTATTTAAAGAGGTTAGTTTGATCGTGAATTTTACATAATAAAGGACAATATTTCAATTCTATGTTCTGTGAATTAAAAGTTAACAACTTCCGAGTTAGCTACTCCTCAAAACCAACTAAAGAGTGAGAAGTGAGGCCGCATATGCATTAATGTCATACAGAAATGTAAAAGACCTACCAGTATTTTTTACTAATTATGAATTAAAACATTTAAAACCGCACAAACCCAGTATGCAAGTAGTAAGACAATAAACTTTGGTTTTGGAATATTAATGTGATGGATGAAAAGGATTGGGATATGTAATTTAGATATTATTTTACTTACACGAGTTGGTAACGTCATCCTCGCTCAAAACGGGTTCAGTGTCTTCTTGTAAAACTGCCAGTTGTTTATCACGTTTTTCCAATTCATTTTGGTATTTTATTGGGTTCGCCAATGCCTCAGCAAATATTGCTATGTCGTCCGGAACATAGTCCTTCACCACAATGCACAGAAATAACGATGTCAGTGGCAGTGGCTGTCCTACCTCGTTTCTCAAACTGAGATGCCTATAGCCCGGTCGTAATCCAATTACGGGTAATACACGATGTCCAATAAATTTCCCACCTTCTTCGTATGCGGCGATTCGTATGCTTGCCAATGCCGGAAGTACGACCTAGAGAAATATGTTTGTTAAATTGATTCTTTAAAAAATAAGGACAACGGATTGTTACCTACTTTCTTAAAAACAAAAGGATCCTCGTCGTAAACAGGATTTAATCCATTATCCCTGACGATTTTTGTACGAAACCTCTTTCGTACGGTATCAGCAGGGAGGCCGAACATATCCACTTCGACGTAGGTTCCAATTCTTTTGTCAGAGAGAAATTGACCAGACAGCACCGTTATAGATACAGAACCCGCTATAATTCCATCAACCTGGAAATGCGTCATTATGAATGTGTCAACTTTGTCATTAAGTCAAAACCTCATATCTACTTACAGTGCTTTCAGCGAATGGATCTAAACGTCTGTCCGTACGTCTCATAAATTCTGGCTTTAACAAATATCCGGATCTACCATTGTACTCAAAAATACCCAAATTAAGCTGCATAGCCAAATCCAGCGTTTGGAAATTTAGAGCGACCAGCTGGCAACCGGCATTCCAAAATAATTGTGGCATGAAATTGGAACTGTCGAAACGTGTACCAGCCGGATATACGCGAGACAATTGATGTTTGTTATAGTTGACAAACTCGATCGGTCGTTCCTTTAGCAAAGTTGTAGCTTGTTTCTCATCAAACGAAGACATTTCATAGCAACGATTTTTCTCTAAATGGGAGCAGGAAAAGGGCGAATTTAAATTGACCTAATATTTCTCAGAAAAAAATGAATTGGTACTAACTTTCTGAGTTCTCAAAAGAACTAAAATGAATTGGCTGTACGTAGTTAACCAAAGCAGATATTTCAGCACCCGCTTCCGTTTCTTTTTGTGCCTTTTCCGGCGGTGGTTCATTGCCACTTGGCAGAATTGGAGTTGTATTTGGAAGAGACTCGTCGTCACTGGAGCTATCGGTGTCTGAGGAGCCAGTGCTATCTTTGGAGCTCTGTCGTAGTTGCTGAATAAAATAATCGAGGTCTGTTTAGGAAGATGATCATAACAAAAGTGATATACTTACATGTAAAGGCGGGGCATGATTGCTTCCGTTCCCTATGTCACCGTTTGTTGTAGTCAACCCACCGGTATTCCCATCCTCGTGTTGTGATGTATTCGCTAATGACGAAGCGCCAGCCACTAATTTATGCGACGCATCAACTGTATAAGGAAGGGTTTACTTAATTTAAAATCTAACTTTGCAAAGTTTTGTGAAGTTTATTAGGCTTTTGAAGATGCTGGCCATACAGTTCAATTGCGGTTCCCATGACTTACCTGAATTTGCAGACACCAACTGTTTGTTATTAGCCGACGAGCCAGCATTTTTCTTGTGATGATGGTGATGATGATGTTTCTTCTTGTTTTTAATGATAATTTTACGTTTGAGCGACGATGGTGGTGGTAACTCGACATTAGGTTCAAGGGGGTGGGAATCTAAAGGCTTATCTAGCAACATTTCACCAAAAATTTCTCGGCAATAATTAGCAATTTTAGCCTACATTAGCAATACATAATAAACGAAAAGAAAACAAATATTTATTGTCTGAAGGCTTGCGATAAAAAAATAAAAAGCGTTTTGAAAATACAAATGGCTTATTCATTTATAAAAGGGCTAAGGCTTGAGACAATATTCTTACATGTACTGTAGATAAAGCGTAAGATAATTACGTTGACATAGTTCAAAATGGGGGAAAAGCAATTAACATATAGAGCCTTACCTGCTGCCTTGGATTACAGTGATTTTCGAAGCTAAGCACCACAGGGAGCTCCGACGTTTTAAACGCACTCTCCGCAATAGCTTCTAAAACATCTTTGGCGAAAATTTCAGGCACAAATGTGTAACCATGAACAATTACAGGCTCATCAGTGCGCCCGTTCCAAAAATCAAGCTCTACACATCTGCAAGAAGAAGTTCGGAGCATGTGAGATATTAATAAATGAAAATGGGTTTTCATTTCTAAAATAAAATCATCATGATTAGCGTTTTCACTTGTAATTACCTGCATCCCGCTAGGAGACATTGCCGATAAATTTCCACAGATGATTTACCCGTCAACTGGTGCCCCGTTAAATATGTATTGTGCGATGAGTTGATAAAATAATGGGCCAAAGGTTGATTCATGTCGTCACTTAAATCCCATTTATTTGCAGCCATTATTGGATTGTCTTCTGACATTAGATACCTGAAAGATTTACCACACAAGCAAATTATAGATGCGTGTAGTTGGCAAGTATTCGTAGCTATTGTGTGGGTTTGTCTGTAGACACATTTTAAAAAGCCCAAGGCCAACAATCATTACACAAACATAATATGCTCCTTCTCGTTCGACAGACTACAGATAGGAGCAAATGTCATAAATGTTTGCATCCTTGAAAGCGTTAATGACATACGTTTCCGAATTGTGAACATTACCATATCTCTGTGGGACTGCTTAAACTGGAAAGTAAACAATGAATTGTCCTTCAAAACACAAAAAAAAAAGAACAAAGGAAGGAAGGGTACTTTTGTCGCTTTGTTAATATCAGCGATATGAAGTAAAGTTAGGCTAAAAGTAGAACATGGGCAATTGACATGTTTCGGACATCGAATTCAAAAGAAACGTAAACGACTTGTACAAGAAGTTTTTTATCAGTTGTGTTTATTTTTTCTAAATTGACTTTTTAATCAAATTTTTTCCATTTTTACTTACCTCAAAAATCCGTCTAAGCTAAGGAGGCCTTTTTGTGCATTGAACTTATTAGGCTCGTATTGCGTTATCACTTCTTTTGCTCTTTCCGTGTCCGCATAAGGATATAAAATTTCATTAAGACGAGGATCGCGTTGAGTATTATTTAAGAAATCCATGAACTGATTTGTTGTCATATATTTCCGCTTTGTGTTGCCAACTCTGGAAAAGACAGAACATCTCTACCAGACTCCCTCAGACAGATTGTAAAGCCATTTTTTACTCACAGATTATCGAAGACCTTTTCAACCTCGTTGCGTTGAGTGAGATTCTTATATAAGTTGTAAAACTCTTCAAAAGTAAATTTCGAAATAGGAACAGTTTCGGTCTTGCCCGACGGTAGGCCTGTATTCTCCAAAGCTTTCTCCACTCGTTTGCGATCATCCTTGTTTTGGGCAAACATCTTCACGATGCTGTGAAGGTACATGAAAAAAACAGAGACATAAAAGAAAGAAGCTAATATTTCAACTTGGACATACTTCTTTACTGGAATGTTGCCACTTTTATCGATTTGTAGACATAGCTTTGTGTGGGCTTTCTTCAGAAACATATTCACTGATCCATTTAGATGGGCCAAACTGTAGGCCAAGCGCATTAAACCATCACACCAGTGCTGTAAAGACAATATCGTTATTTACGTTTAAAGTGGTAAATATTTGGATCGGATCCACTAAAATCTCTTTGCTTTCTTTTGGCTTGAAAGCATCATCGTAGTGCAGGGATAATCAATGTTCTTTTTCAAATCAAGCTCGATTTACAAATTGAGTTCTTATGTAAATTGCTGGCATTTGGATTTATTTTATGGAAGTACATCGATTTTTCAAAGGCATTACGCTGATAAAGCATCAGATTAATCGAACTTCTGGATTTGGCACTGCATTCCTGAGAAGGCGGGAATGTTTTATTGCTTTGAATTAAAAATGGAAGCTTAAATGTCCCATAATATGATGTATACCTCGAAGGAGTTCAAAATACCACCTTCAAACTTTTGGAATATTGAATGTGGAATTAAATAAAAAAACGGCTTCAGTTTTCTTCTGGTAGAGAATAATTGTCTGCGAAGTTGGATAAAAGGAAATTACGGTATTTCGCGCTTAGTAAATATTTAATAGCAACAATTCAAGTATTTGCCTAACACAGTGCATTCTTTCGGCAAGGCGAACATGAACGCAAAAGCCAGCCAGTATGTATTCTCTAGGGCAAAAAGGTAATTGTGCCAAAGAATTATAAGTCATTTCAATGAATAGCTGCAGATGTTTTCCTTCATTAAAATTTCATGGGGAAAGTTCTATCGAGAAGGAAGTATTTTGGCCATAGCACTTGACACAAAATAAAGCGCAGCATCCATGACAGACAGACAAATCACATGGCATGGATGACAACGGGCATTTCATTCGGCGCGTAAAACGACATGACATAACTGAAGAAATGAGTTCAGAGTACACTCTATGCCTTTCTAGCTGTGCATGAGTTTAGCAAGACATTTATTTGTTGACCAAAAAACATCAATTTATCACCGACCCTGATTGCACTGCTGCCGACACACAACCACTGGCGCAGAGTCCTTGAACTTGTGTTTGTGTTGATGTTCATATGGATACATACCTGTGCAATTTCCTTTTTCGTACAACAAAAGTTGATAAAGGAGATATTTACGAAATCGGAACCATGGCACACCGTGACAGTTTTCTCCTCCAACGTGTCCTGAGAGCCGAGAGTTACTATCTGGGTCAATTTAGGGTCCTGAAAAACAATAGTAAACAAATTAAAAAAAGGAAAGTCATACACGACCATATACCCACCATACTATGGAGGGTATATTAACTTTGTCATTCCGTTTGTAATTTCTCGAAATACTCGACCCAACAAATGATATATGTTTGTATAATGGTACCTCTCAATATTCCGTTTTTGATGATTTTAGCGACATTGTAGAGTAGAATTGTTTCAAATTTCGTATGGGAAGATCCTAATGGGTACTATAACTTTTGACAAAAAAAATGCGTATGCAGATCCTCTATGGTTTTCATTAAACTATATTTTTTGACGATATATTTACATTTTTTTCGAAGTCCTTCCAAATGGTGGAGGGTATTAAAAGTTCGGCCCGGCCGAACTTAGCTGCTATGCTGTAGGAGCTACGGCAACCAATTTTGAAAATATTTTTGATTGTTTTAGAAATGAGATGTGGATGAATTCGTTTTTTTTTCTTATTGTGGTATATCGCCCTGAAGGCATACTGAAATAAATCAAAAAGCTATAAAGCCAATTGATATTTCCCTTCGTCAGGAAGAAATCATCATATTGGTAAATAGCACTAAATGTTGCAAAGCTGTCAGTTTCGTTTTGAAAAATATCACTCTCTGTAATAGAGAGTAATAAGAAGTTGAGTCAATGGAGGAATTCCCCAGAGTTAAGAAATAATTAAAATGTTAGCATAGGAAGAACGACATAAATATATTTGCATCCCAGTTCATAACACATAATGTATTAGGGCCTCAATTACGTATTAGGGCCATATATAAAAAATATATATTGGAAAAAGTTTTAGGATTGAAAACAAAAGGCGAGTGGAAACCTCACATCCTAATGAGATTGTTATCAAGGCAATACTAGTTTGCGATAATATCCAATACTTTTCCTTGAAATTCATTTCTTTGACATTTCTGAGAACTCTTCTAAGAAAGACGACTGCTCTTACGAATTTAATATTCCAAAGCCACAAAAGGTGGTGCTAGCTAAACTAAATCAGTTGAATAATTATAACGCCCTTAAGATCCCTAAAATAGACGGGATAATGGCTATATTAAACTGTCGCCGATTAGTCCACAACATCGCAGTAATTAAAAGAGCGAGCGCAATGTGTGACAGCCAAACACACTGCCCAATGCCACCCACCGTACCACTAGTACCGTGGTGACACATTTTAATTTGACAGTTTTAATTTTTAATTGAGATTTTCTGCAGATAACAATCATGCTTGCCCCATTTAATACGATTACTGTAATTTTCTAAATATCCGACCAACAGTTGGGTAATTTCGCCGCATCGGCAGGATGAGCGACGTGTAAAACAATTTATTGCTTCGCACAGGGGACTTAAGTTTGACGTAACGACTTGATTGTATTCTAAGACATAATCATTAAAAAGGGATGCTCTTCTCGTCATCCTCGAACATCTTGCCTTTTAAACACACAAGATAGGAAATATTGTGAAAAACAATGCTCCATATATTCTGTTGGTGGAGTAAAGTACTTGGGTCGTCATTTTTGAAGAAACTTTGTTGTGTTACAACAAATTACGGGTACATATGTGTGTTTTCAGAATTTTTTCTAATGTTCGCCGTTTTTCCTTGTCGTTAACATATGACACATGTAAGTTAATTTTATAGCCGTGCGGGCCCGACAATGTAATACCTTACGTCCAAATCCATATGTCATTTTGTATGCGCTCTCTGTCGTTCAGATTGGTATTTAAACCCATTTCACACAAAAGATGTTCTCCATTTTATCCGCTCAATGTAATTCAATGGTTATCCAAAATCCTAGACTTCTTCCCTACCCTAAAATCTAGCCTCATGAGAAACACCGTGTCAATTTGTTTTTAGTTGTGCCCCGTAGGTCGACCGCCAAATCAGGAAAATTTTAATTTTTGGTTCATTTGAACCCCTACATATATATCTTAAAGACAATAGGTCAGCGTTGAAGTCCCTAACCCATGGAACATGGAACATTTCCTGGGAATCGGACAATAATTGCAACCTGAATATATAAGTACAATTGAAGCAATCTCACGCGATACAAAAATAAGACAAAACCTATAACATTATCAGTTTTTTATGTGATTTCTAGATTTTATTTTTTTCTGCCAAAAGGCTTCTATGAGTTGGTGAAATCGCTGTTTAGTGAATATTTTCGTATAGTTTACATCAAAGTTAGGGTAATTTTTGCCCGCTAAATACCACAACTATTATGTAAATTAAGCGAAATTTTCACTAAACCGCGAATATTTTTAATCACGGTCCCATGTCCCATTTTAGTCCGCTTAGATTGGTCTTTGATTGCGACCTGTAGAGCATCTGCAAAATTAGACATTTTGCGATCAACTCTAAAACAATAAGCTTTTATTATGACCCTAGGGACCCTAACGTGATTACAAATTAACATTAAGAGACGGACGGATGGAAGGACTGACATACATAGCTAGATCGATTCACCTTGGCGAGGTGAGATGATCCATATTTCCATACTTCGAGGTGTAACATAATTTTTGGCTCCATCAAACTTATAATACCCCCAACAAATAGTGTTGTGGTTTACAAAAATGTAATTAATTTAACAAAGAAATGTGCCTTTATCCGTAAGACATTCTTATTTGCTTTTGCATTTCTAATTTGTTTCTTATTTTTTAACATGTCGTCGAATAGTAGCATTTTTCCACATCGCACAAGTAAATTTAAACAAGTAAAAACGCAGTTAAGTTCGACCTGCCGGACTTTTAATACACACAAAATATGTCTACAACTGCCGAGATCTTGTATTTAAGAGGTGGTTACGAATTATTATTGTTATTAGGAATTTGCAACACCAAATTACAACAGATTCCGTTAAAAATACTCTTATACGGGTCTATATCGAAATGAAAATCTGTATAATTAGGTGTCATAACAAACTAAAAATACCAAATTTGTTTTTGATGTTACACAAACCATCGAAATACCGAATATCGGGAGTTACCGACGGGGTGGGGCGGTTTGTGTAAGTAAGATGACGCCGATGAACAATGTGGCTAAAATAAAATAAAATAAAATAAAATAACAAATACAAGAAGATACAGTTATATGGCGGCTATACGAAAACGTGGACCAATATAAGAGATTTTCTTTCACAAATACTAAAAAATACTAAATTTGAAACAATTTGAAATACCAAAAACCCTTCTGACCTTAGCTTCACACAGACGGACGGATTTTGCTAAATAGACATAGAATTATATGCTAATCAAGAATATATACATTTACCGTCGGGTCTACACTGGATATTTCGAGGAATGACCAACATAATATCCTTATCATATTGTGGTTGAGGGTGTAAAAATTTCTACTTACCTTTGGTTTCTTTGCATATTGTCCTGTTCTAACATCTCTTATTGCGGCAATATCAAGCATATCCATTTCGTTATTTTGATCCACCCAGTAAAGAAAGAAACCGCCAGGGTCGACCCGCATAGTAACGGGGGTTCCTTGACACGAATCCTGAAAGACAGAAATAGGGGACTTGTTATAACAAAAATTGGCATTGTTTTGGACTTATAATGGAGAATGGAGCCCCTTCTCAAAATTAGGTAGAGAAATTTTAAGAACACGCAACAGCTTTATGTCAATGTCCTTTCAAATATATGTAAATTCGTGCTGCTCATTAATCATGCATATTTTGTGAATATGATAGAAGTCTCCATAATGCAAATGCAGATCATTTCCATGTATATCATATGTCAGCAAAAAAAAAAAAACATAGCTGAGGGAGAAATAAACAAACCATCCACTAATGTAGCAATGAAAAACTAGATTATGTTTTTTTCTTGTCGCCAAGGCTAGTATCGGAAAGGGGAGAACTTGTAAACTCAAGGATATGCTTGTGAACATAATAATCTTCCGCCATAGAAGTAAATATCTATAGACAATTGCTGTGTGTGTTTATCTTGTGTTTAAGCAGAACTTGCGTTAATGCCAGCATTATAAAACATTGATACGCTGACAAAAATTACAGCTTTGCTCGTAAGAAAACTTCTACTATATTGTATGTCACAAAAGGGGAATGATTTCTTGTTGCAAAGTCAACAAATATATTTTGTGAAATAATCTTTGCAATAAAAAAAAAAACTAAGCTCAATCCTATGTTTTTGAAATATGACCGGATTTATGTATATTTTTAGCTAGAAAATCTACACACTTTTGGAAAATCGTCTACATCTAACTTTACTCTAGAATAGCTTTAATATGACGTGTCTTCAGCCTGATCAATAGAATGAGGAATTTTTAGTCAAATAATTCGTCCTTCCAACGCTATTAAAATTGCTCATATTTGCGGAATAGTGAACGTACCCAGGCCGCTGTATGAGCTGAAACTCCCAATAACTGGTAATGCAAAAAATTTATATTTTGAACTCGACAACCCTTTATGTTCGCAACAGTGGCACAGTGTGTAGTGTACTTAACTACAAATACAATACCAGCAGCGAAAAAAAAAACAAAAGTATAAAAACGTGGATTTAAACGGAAAACACATATTTTTTCTTCTAATTTGCCGACGTAATAATCTACTTATTTCGGCAGACATGCTCTTGTAAAAATAATGGGTTAGTAAGTTGATTTGTAAGTAGATACGACCTCTAAACCTTATTTTTTCTTAAGTTTTTATGTTTTCCCATGGCCTTCTGAAATTTAAACAAAATTATTACAAAAATAAAATTTTTCTAGCTTTAAAATTCATTCATTCATCATTATTGTAATTTTCTACAGAGTAACTAGCTGAACCCGGTTCGCTTTGATTTTATATGCATTTAAAATTTTATATACGAATATTTGTTGGTTAAAAAAATAAAAACATGCCAAATTTTGTCCGCATACACAAAGGGTTTGTCCTTCGGATTTATTAATTTCATAGCAAATGCAGGAAACTGCAATCTTTTACAGTTGAGTGGCATTTCTGTCGCAATTAGTGAATTCGAGGTAGCAACATACTTCCCCGTAATAATCGTATTCTCAACTAAAATTTAGTTTTTCAATGCTTCTTAATGAAATCATGTCCTGATCTGAACTGATTTCAATATAGTTGGACAAAATTTACTTTCACACCAAATTCCATCACACCTTCCATATTTCATTGAAATTTGAGGTACATAGCGTATTTGGTACATCAAATACAGAGGCATATGAAAAAACTGCAACCAACTTCAGTCTGCTGTCATTTCAAAGCCACTCGTCCGACAGCTGGTAAAATTATTCCAGTGACAGCTCATTATATTGTTTACAAGCGTACAAAAGCATTTTGGTGAGAATTATCCAGAAAAAAAGTTATTCGTGATGGAATTCAAGCGTGATATTGTGATTTCTTTACATTTGGCTGGAAAACTACAAGTGGCTATGGTTAGAGCACTCCAGCATTTAAATTTGAATAGATCTTTTGTGTCTCGTACCATCGCTTGTTACTGTGATACTAGTAGCGTAGCCCAACGTCAAGGAAGTGGACGGAAGAAAACAGCAACATCAGCAGAAATGGTGAGCTGAACGTATCGCAATATTCCATTTGGCGAATTTTCAAAAATGAGCTCGGGGTAAAGCCATTGAAATTCCAAAAAGCGCAAGAACTTACAACGCAACAGAAAGAAAAGAGACTTAAAAGAGCTAAAAGTTGCTGCGCTTGGCCGAAAGTAATGAGCTGAACCAAATTCGCTGTCCAGCAGTTTGTGAACAAACAAAATGATCGAGTTTAGTTGCCAAAGAAATGTGCACCTTCAGTTGGCCACCAGAACTCAAGCTCCGGCCATGGTGAAGGTGTAAGCCGCCATAACAGCCGAAGGTCGCTTTGCGCTCGTAATAATCGACAGTGTCATCAGAATAAATGCCGAATATTATCGCGAAAATATTCTGGAGGGTGTATTAAAGCCTTGGGCACGCAAACATTTTAGCCGCAGACCTTGGACATTCCAACAGGACTCAGCACGGGTCAACCAAGAAAAAATAAGGTTCCTCACTTCATTTCCAGCGCACAATAGTCACCAAAATCGCCGGATACCAATCCGTTGGACTATTGTGTCTGGAGTATTTTGGAAAACAAGGTTGGCACTAAAAAATAGCAAAGTGTCGATGTCACCTCAAGCAAGTGATTCGCCGGGAATGGGCCAAAATACCGCAGAGCAACATTCGGACAGCGTGTGACGGTTTCATTGCCCCTTTGAAGACTATAATTCATGCAAATGGTGACCAAATTCAGTTACGCATTCAAAATTCGGAGACTGTATCTGTAATCGATCAATGGATATGTGCATATCTACATCACACTTAAGTATGAGTGCGCAAATTGTTGATTTGAATGGAGTTGCTTTTGATGACTATTTTACATATGACTACAGCTGACTACTTTCTGGCAATTCTATAATTATTCTACTTTATAAAATAACTTAATTGTATGGCAAGTATATCCATGAAAAGAATATAAGGCAAGACAACGTTTGCCGGGTCAGCTAGTTTTGTCAATTATTTGGGTACAAAAGGCATAAAAATAACTTTGCCGTGTAAAATGTTCAAAAAATTCAGAAAAGTATCCATTTAGGGCCACAAAGCTTCCCTGCATGCCTTTCAGTATCCCTATGGAGTTCGATTTGTTCTCATTCAATAGCTAGAGAACTACTCTGCTTTTGATACGGTTCGAAGGTTGGTCAAATGACCCTAACATGACAACTATTTCCAATTTGGAATATTCTTTTCTCAATGTATTGTGGCTGCCATTCCATAATCCCCTTGAATGCGAAATCTAATAAATAATAAAAGTCTTATCAGGACCCAGTCAATTCTGATAACTTCACCTGCACCCGATACAAATCGCCACTCAATTCAGGCGGTAAATTAATTAGTGACGCGCAGTAAATCAGAAGGTGGAAAGAAAGGAAACTACAGCAGATAAGAATTAATTTGATTTGTTTTGCGGATTTACCGCATTCGTCATTTTATTTTAATGGACTTAATTAAGTACATAGTAGGCCCATTGAACCTCATTTATCCAGTCGACATATTCCGAGACGGCGGTGTAAACAGTGGGACGGTTGTTGTAGCCACATGGCATGTAACCCCAGGATGTGATACCAACTAATTCAGCGACGTTACCTTCGCGTTCAACCACCAAAGGAGAACCGCCATCACCGTAGCAGGCAGCTACTCTGACGCAAATTTGCTTTGAGCTGACGGGTGCATCCGAGGGAAGAGCTTCCTGGCACTCTGCAGCAGACAAAACATCGGACTTAGCAACCTTCAAATCTTTAACATACATGGTGCCCTCAGCGTCGTCCAAGCCCCAGCCGTAGTTGGCAGAAGATTGACCATCGAATTGTTCCTGTCTGTAGGGCAAAGCAGCAGCTTTCACATTGACTCCGAACTCAAAAGCAGGTGTAACGTGCAACAATGCAATATCGTCGGAACCTTCGGCGCCGGTAAACTGCTTGTGGTTGAAGGCAAAATCAATGGTGCGGATTTGAGCCTTATCCTCATTGCTGCGATCGGTCAAACCGGCGTAGACGGTTAGACCGACAGCGCTACCAGCTAACTGGTTCAACTCGTTGACGCAATGAGCAGCAGTTAAAACCCATTCCTTGCCAATGATGGCACCAGCGCAACTATGAGCAGCTACCAATTTGGATGCGCTCAATGAAACCAGATACGGGGCAGATTTCTCAGCGGCATTCTCACCATCAATAATGAAGGGGTTGATGTCAACGGCGGGGCCAGTTAGACGGTCGTGCAACAGCTTTCCCAAACTGGCAATAGAAGGAGTAGCACAGGCTACCGCAGCGAACAAAACCACCAAAGCGAAGGCTTTCATTTTAACACCCACGCCTACCAAACTCAAATGGAAACTGAAATGGTTCCGTTATCAGGAAGGGTCATTTTATAGCTACGGCCGGCCTTCGCACTGCTTTAGAAAAGAGAAAGAGAAGAAAGAGTTTTAGAACTCTTACCAAAACATTCGACTCTCTTTCCAACTAAGTGTTTAGCCGACGGCTGCCAATGATTAGAATTCCAAATTTATCGCTAACAGAAGACGGAAATTTATAGCCACACTCATAGACCACATAAAGGGCTTATCTTCAAGGTGCACATATAGCTGTCGTTTCAATTCAATGTATTGAAAATGAACATCAGGGATTTTCCATCCTACACTAGTGAAATTTTTGGGTATAAAAAGCTGAGAAAGAATAGGTCGAGTTGTCGGGAGACATGTACCCTCAGCGTATGTCAATATAATTATGTATATTCTTTGTTCGGGAGATATCAGCCCTAAGTTTGATATAAATATTGCGTTGTGCTCAATTTAAACTATATCGAGTGCTACATCCAACAAGATTTTTAACTCATTTTTTTGCAAAATGTAAAGCCTTTATGGGCAAGATATCGGAAGATCATATTAATGTGTACCAAGTTAGGACAGAATCGAGCCAGACATAGGTGCGGCACATATTGGCCGTATAGGGTTAATTCGGATTCGACTAGGAATTTCGTGCAAGTTTGGTTCTCACTTTGATAGCTTGATAACTGACCAATAGCCAATAATCATGAGAACTGCTGCAGTTGCCGAATCGAACAGTAGGAGAAAACCGTCGATCACCTACTCTTATACATATATTTTCTAAATCAAATATGTACGACACGAGTACTATAAACTTTGCTGCTATGGTATCTATCGGATTTCCCTAATGCTATTAAATCTCTTTATTTCCAATGTCGAGAATTCAGTCGAACCTATTAAAGTTACACCGTATTTCCTTAATGGCATTTATTTTTAAATAGCATGAATTCCTTTTTTCATTTATTACCATGATGGAAGGGTAGTTTTATTGAGTAACCAATAAATTGCTTTTGTCCACTTCAGTGCCTTTCCTATATTTTATCGGCCCCCTCCAGTGGAACAACTAAAAAAGAACAATGCGTTTCACAAGCTTCACTTCAAACAATGGACCTTCCAACCATCGGCCTGAATAAATACACGGTGGTCATAATACACACACAGGTTTATTTTTTACTGACCTTCTGTTGTCCTTGGCATAAGCAGTTATTCATCGCGGTAGTTGATACATAGTTGTTAGCTCTACAGATCCTGCAACACGAGTGGCACGCGTTGGCATTGATTCGCACACGCCGATACAAAAGTCGATGAGGTAGGTGACACACCGAAATGAAAGGAATTGTCGTAAAATATTAACAGTGGACAAGAGAGGGAGGAAGAGGTAAATATCAGTGCATACGGTTGTAAAATGTATTTGTATGAAAATGCAGAGAAGTAGCAGAACATTTACGGAAGTGCCTATCTCTGGACTGTGTATAAACTTTTGGGTTCAGCATACCCATTAAGTGCATTTAAGAACATAAAAAAGGCACCTAATTATGTTGACAACCGTATCTAAATTCATATTTGAATATGTTGGCATTGGCTACCAGACCAGTTTAAGGTAAGTTATATCTATTTTTAAATGAAAACATTGATGAAAAATTTAAACTTTTAAATAGGTTTTCTCAACACTATTTTTTATAAGGTATATAAATATACAAAACTTGGACCCTTTGTGGGGGAGGTACAAGAATAAGTGTTTCGGTATATCCCATCTTTACACCAGATCTTGTGTTCGTAAAAATATTAAGATGTGTAAAATTTAAAGAGCATCGGATGCTCATTTCGCGTTTTATGAGCATCATGATTTCAAAATGTGGACCCTTTGTGGGCGAGTTACTTGATAGAGTGGACCGATATATTCAATTTTCACATCATATCTTGTGTTGATAGAATTATTGGGACGTGTGAAAAAATCGGACTCTTATTTCACATTTTATAAGAGTTAAAATTATTCCAAATTTTAACCCTTTGTGGGGAGGTACTTGATAGTGTGGGCAGATAATGTGCGCACCAGCCAAGACAGACAGACGGGCGGATATATACCCTCTGTAGCCATATGACTGAGGGTATAAAAAATGCATACATATTTGGAGCTCGAAATACTCAACCTACTCAAATGTCTAAATCCTCTTAGAATCTAAAACAAAAACAATTTAGTTGATATTTCAAGTCAGGTTGAATTCCAGTGTTGTTGAACTTTTTCTTAAAAAAAAACTTTTTTTCATTAACATTAATGTGGCAGTCCTAATCAATTAGCATAGCAGGGAAATATCGAAAAGAACCACCAATAATTATAGAACTCGTTTTATTTTTGATTGTGGAGGTCCTCCCCATGAAATATTCAAAACAATTCCCTTTTATAACAAAAATTGTAATAGTCGGTTTAATAGAAGGAAAACTAAGACTAACTACAAAAATGGCATGTGACTGAAACAGAAAGCGTGGAAGCGATGGGGTAATAATACAGATGACAGCGATTGGGCTAAGAAATAACTTTCTTATTCTTTCAAAAATACACGACTTAAAAAATCAACCTTGTTCTTGCGACAATCGAATTTATTTATAATCTATAAACGGGTCAATTCATTACCTGACAATGGAATGATGTTGGTATCGACCAATTCTTATTTCGCTAGTTAGCCATTCAGGTCCTCAGCCCTTGACCTTCTAAAAGTATATCGCTTGCCGTGCGTATATTTCCCTCACCTCATTAGCATTCTACAAGAGATGGAAGTCAACATTTGTATATAATCCATTCTATGAAGCCCCCATAAAATTGTTAAAAGGTATACACAAACCGACACACACGTTTCTAGATCGATTCAGTTCAATATTCCTCAAGGCCATAGTCTTCTATATCGAACTTTATGAGCAAATCGGCGATCGGTTCATAGTTGATTTAGAACTCTTACAATTTATAACGCATAGCCGGAAACGAATGCTCAACTTATACGTCGCCGATTAATGAAGATCGGTAGATTTAATGAAGGATCTCTGACCAATATTTTGTCTTTGTATCGCATATGCAGTTAAGTTCATGAAGACTTATAAAAAACAAACAATTCGTTAACATGCAAACATATTTATACTTAGAAGTAGAACTTTGAACTATAAAGTATTATTTAAATATTATTAATTCGCCTATGTTAACAAATTGCAATGAATGAGACAGAGTGTACTTTGCAATTATTTTTATATCCTCAGCCTTCTGGCCACAGAGATTGGATGGGCAAGTATGCGGTCTTTTATTCTCTGTCATGAGTAAAACATCAATAAGCAGACAAATATGCATAATTTTAAAAACTGTTTCTAAAAACTAGTTCTTGAGCTTATTTCAATTATGTTTGTGTTTAAAAAATTATATACCTTATACATTTATCCTTTGATACGGCCAAAATGTGCCGTATCGAAATAACGGCGAAATAACGCTAGGTCTCTTTTGAATGAAATCCGTTTTTGGAATATCCGATGTAGTCCGAACCATACCTACGTTGTAGTATTTTCACCAAACTTAAGTCGAATCTGGTAATGTGCAACATCAGTCCTTTCTTTCGGTTACCTCCCTATGACGGGTCAAAATTTAAAATAACCATAACGCTCATTAAATCCAATGCTTTTAAAATTTCTTACATGTTGTTGTTTTTCATTGTTGACCTGTTGCATATGAATTCTTTATAGCTTTCATTTGGCTTGAGGTCTATGGAAACATCAGTGTTTTATTTTTATTATTTTGATTTTTATCATTTACTTTTATTGAGAAAAGCAACAGTCTTGTTTCACCGTCTATGCTAAACTATGTTTTTGAACTAAGTTCCTATAAATGGGTCAGTATCAGTCTTACAACTCATTCTAACATCAGTTGATCTGTTTATAATATGTAACATTTCTAGGGTAAAACGCCTTTTATAATTATTTTCTTGTGTCAGTATTTCAACGTCTTTGAAATTTGGTTTATGGCCAGTCATCGTGGAACGTGCCGCAAGCGCCGTTTTTTGTTCTAGTGGTTTTTACGTTTTTTGATCTGACTTATGTCCAGATAGTCTAGTCTTAAATTCACTTTTAGTTGTACCAACATATAACTTTTGGCACAGTTTATCTAGCATAAGATAACATTGCACTTATCTTATTTTTAATTTCGATTTTGTTTTGCTAAATAATTTTGCTAAATAAAAATTTGAAATTGTTCTTAGATTTAAAGGCTAATTGATACTTGTCCTTATTATAAATATTAGAATTGCTGAATCGCTCAAAAAGTACAGGTACATATGTAGTTGGCTTGTATAATTTTTTCGTTTGCGAGGGATTTTATTTTTGATACTTATTTTATTTCTCCGAAGATGACCTCAAGTCAAATTAAATGTATGAAGTTTTCACACATTACTATATTTATACTAACACATGGTCTGGTGTGAAGATGGAATACATTCTGGTAACTCCTCCACAAAATATCAACATTTAGATTTACAAATTGTTGCATAAAATTTAAAATAAGTAAACTCAGCCTCAGACACAACAAATCAAGATTTATTAGTGGAGTGCAGGTATTTCAGGTTTCGGAAAGAGCCACCAATCCTCATCAGTTCCCTGGTTTTTTGTCTTATAAAGATTCAGATCATTTGCTGGAATTTCGTGATGAAACATTTTTTTTTTTTTTTTTGATTGATATAACTATATGTGGAGGTAAAATTGGTCTGATTCAATGGCTAATAATTAGGTATAGGTGCATCACTGGCAGGAAATGTAAAGTTCGTATATAAGATTGAAAGATAAGGACAATTTATGGGTATCAGGGCACCAATTCTATTGCCCACACTTTACAATTTCGAAAGGTTACAAGTGCAAAATGTCCCGGTACACTTAACAGTCTATAGCCCATTCGGGATTTCCTCCGTCAACATAGCCAAGTAAATCTTTAATCGATTGACGTTTTTCCCATTTGAAACAAAAACACTCTACGATAACAGCAGTTTATAGCTCCCGAAATAATATGTTGATTAACTAGAGTAGATTGGATTAAACTTTGACTGAGGCGATAAGGTCGCAGCTCTTGCAGGCATCGGGCCTTATAAATCATTCAAATCGGCAATTTCGATTAAATTGAATTGCCAATATAAATAGGTTCAGTTTGGGCTGCAATAACCAGTACCCGTTGTCAACATGAAGGTTTTAGTAGTTGTCGCTCTTTTGGTGGCTTGCGCCCAAGCAGGCAGCATTTCCGACATTGCCCAAAAGTTGATCCCCAGCTTCGCCACTGGCTACATCATCAAGGGCCAAGATGCCGTGGAACACTCCGCCCCCTATATTGTCTCCTTGAGCAGGACTACTAAGCACTCGCACATCTGCGGCGGCACCATCATCTCCAAGGAATGGATCTTGACTGCTGCTCACTGCATTAGTGACCCCGTTGGCATGGGTGTTATTGCCGGGTTGCATGTTCGTAGCGATGTCAACGAGAAGACCCAGTCCCGTGAAGTCGACTTTGGTAAGGTACATGAAAACTACAGCGGTGGAGTTGGTCCCTACGATATTGCCATTTTGCACGTGTCCGTTCCCTTCGAATTCAATTCCTGGGTTCAACCGGCTGCTCTGCCTGCTGTCGAAGAAATCCACTCTGGCGAAACCCATTTGTATGGCTGGGGTCAACCTAAATCCTACGTCCTCACCGCTGCCAAAACTTTGCAAACCGTCGAAACACAAATTGTTGAGTATGAAACCTGCAAGGAGGTTTTGCCCGAAAACGCCCCATTGCACGAGACCAACGTCTGTTCCGACTCCTTGCAACAAAGCATCTCTGCTTGCAATGGCGACTCTGGCGGCCCATTGGTTGTTGAACACGAAGGCGCTCCCTCCGAATTGATTGGCATTGTTTCATGGGGCTATATCCCCTGCGGCTTGGCTAACATGCCTTCCATTTACACCCGTGTTTCTGCCTACATTGATTGGGTTGCCAAGATCCAAAGCGCCTACTATGTCCTCCACTAAAAATCAATAAAGGAACGCATTGCAATTTCTTCATACGAACATTATTAAATCAATCAAACTTGTTTTATTTATTTGCATTCTTCACAGCGGCTCTCATTTGAATATTTGCTCCAGAATTTTAGCCCGATATCAATACTCTCCTAAAACAAGTAGTAAAAAACCTTGGTCAGACAATGAAATGTTTCGGGAAATGGGTTCCTTTTGACTAACTTAGAGATTAGCGTGAATCACATAAAAAATTTCCCGTAAAGAAAGGATAAAACTCTGGCGGGGCACACTTTACGGTACCATAACCCACCTCTGCATATTTGGTAGAGATTCCTGTAACTAATAAGCGCTTATAACAGAAATTTATGTGAAGTAGGTCATACCAGTTATGATCCTTATGGACTGTCTGTTACCGCCTCAGAGCGGATTAAATTTAAAATCGGATGAAAGCAACGTATGGAAACGATATATTAATCTTAATCGATTTCTACTAAATTTAACGGGGCTTGTTTATCTATTATGTGACCTGAAGTACCTATAGATCGTACATATAGAGTGCTTGTTATGATTGTGAGAAGCATATATTGGAGCTATGACTATGTCTGAAGCAAATTTGACGTACTTGCTTCTAGGCTGAATTCGATTTTATGTACCGAAATTCACACATTTGGTGCACAAATAATGAATAATTCAATCATACCTCATATCTTGCATGATTTTTGTTGATGCAGTGGTTTGGTTTGATCCGAGTCAAGTGATCATTTCCTCATCCTCGGATTGAATCGAACACGCAGCTTGAATCAATTCAGTTGTAATCAAAGTTGAGTGTTTGAGAGAGTTTGATTTGTTAAGCAAAATGAGTTGATCGAAGACATGAATTGAAATGGGCAATCACAACTGTGATTTGTTTCTTTCCATCGAGTTTGATCAGCACCATTGCTTTTTCCGCCAAGAAAAAGTTCAACCGAAAGTCTTGCAAGTAGAAACTATACATTGCCTGGCAAACAAAAAGGTCAACGTTTTCAGGCGAAAAATCTTCACCGATATTTTATAATAAAATAAATATTTAAATAGTGATTTCGTTTTTAGAAATAAATCACTAAAGTCGAATATACCAAAAAACCCAAATAAAAAATTAAAAAGTTCTGTTTATTAAATACAATTTGTACCAATTTATTCATGGGGACTGTTTTTTGTTATGATACGCCTAGTAAAACTAAAATCATAATATCGTTCAGATTCGATCTTCGGTGTTTTAATCAATCACTCACTTTAAAAGGATGAATCAAACCGCCCCGTTAAGAACAATTCAACAATAGTTCGTAAACAAATCACTCATGTGTGTTGTTTGATTGCGAATGCAGGTCTTCGATTAATTCATGTGAGCAACACGAATAAACATGTTACATCTCACCGACTGCCTGAGTTCGATTCGATTTCCTCTAAGTGTGACCAAACCCATTCATCATATTCATTAGAGACCTCTGGTAACACCTCTAAATCTAAAGTTGGACCGATTATCATGAATTTCAATAGGGTTCGTCCTTCTAATCTTTTTCCGTGCCAAATCATCTCAACCACTTGTCCACTGCAAACAAACTGTTTGTGTTTCATTTTTAATTGCAGACATCTGAAGATAATCGATTGGAAAGTGTGCCAAACTAGAAAATTGTAAATAAAATTGATAGTGAAATAGAATACTGATTGAAATCAATTGTGTTGGCACGATAGTGTGTCAAAGTAGATAAACCATACTTCACCTACAGCAAATTTTCCAAGTTAAAGTGCTTTCATTTTTCAACGAATATAACATTGGACTAGAAACAGTCGAGCAATGCACTCACGGCGCAAATAAAAGATACTTTGCATCACCTATGATTGAATATATATATGGGACACTTTGATTTTAACAATGGATAGGTCATCTATTTTCACTTATCTGTTTTCATATAGTTCTAAACAACAGCAATCTAATGTTTCCTGAATGCCCACCTACAACAAAAAACAGTGTCGCATATGTTTTGTTTCATAATTTAGCTACGCATTTGATTGCTTCGTTATTATCCGTTAACATTTGTTTGTCCAAACCTTCACCAACTTTAGTTGCCTTTCCTCTCGCATCCAGAACGGCACAAACTATCTGTTAAACGTTCTACCAAATATTGCTTAATTGCGTTCATAAACTGGCCGGCGAGGTCTAATCATAATCTGCCGTATTGCCAAGCAACAACAAATCGTAAATCAAAATATGTCAGCCATAAATTAATAAAGGCGATGGCTGATTGCAATATCAAGTTATGATAATTTGCTTTTTATTACAGATATGAACTTCGAATGCAGAGCGCTACTACGCAAACAATGTTTCGATACGAAGTTAGTTTTGGAACTTTGGGATGTTGTTTCCTGTCAGATGGTAGAAATCAATCCAACAAATTTGAATTTGGTTTTTATACCCTCAGTCATATAGTTTACAAAGGGGAATCCAATTATCATTTGATGCGAACAAAATGTACCTTGACGAAATAACGGTTGTAGGAGTCGATCTAGCGGTGTCTGTCCATTTGTCCGCGTATCTTGGTGGGAGTATCCAATATCGTATAATTTAGGTATATCATAATATTTTGAATCAAGCTTCGATTTATTAGGCACTCCTTCAAAATTTTCTAAATAACAAAATATACATATACCTCATATAAATTGGAGAAGGTTGTCGATATAGTCCAATCTGACACGTCGTAATATTTATATCAGACTCAAGTCAGATGTGAAATCGACAATATTTTTCATACTCAGCCGATAATAAGGAGAGCCGCAGATGTAGTTAATGCCGAAGTTTTTCGAAAACAGAAAAAATTACTTTGAGCATGTACAAAAACAGCATACTTATAAGCAAAACAAAGGAACGCAGAGCCAAAGGAAAGAACAGCCCTCATACTCCCACGACAAAAGAGAGCACCCCAGTAAGAAATCTCACATTTTGACATTACGTACCAAACTGTCATCGAGGGTCAACAAAAAAAGTGTAAAAATGCACCCGTTCAATTTTCAGAACACACGAGTTAGGTTTTCGTTTAATTCACCCCTGATGGTGGGGTTGAACTGGCGATCTTCTTATCGGCAGTTGGGTACACCATTCACTCAAGCATTGCAACGAGCATTTATTGTTGTTTAACGGCGTGTATGGGGTGTTGCCAAACTTTTCATACTTTCTTTTTTATTTCTTTGCTAACACAAAGATTCGAGCCAACGACCACCGTGTCGTCGATACTCTTTACTTGGTAAGATAAAAGTTAAAAATTGCCTCGAGTTCTGGCATCTTGAAATATCCCCAAAAAGTATATACATTCATGATCACCGATAAATTGTATGTCATTTATAGCCTTGTCCTTCCAACAGACTGTCTGAAAGAAAGCCTTTTGAAATTGGGCAACTTTTGCCAGAACAAGTCATTCTAAAATTCTGTCGGGAAAGATTGCTTCCTTTTTGAGATATTTTTGTGAGTTTAAAACCAAGCAAACGCCTGCAAGTTAAAATTCAATAAAGATTTTTGAATGCTGGTTAACTTTATTTTGATTATTTTGCATCAGGGAACAATCATTTATTTGGAATTGTTTTGAATTGTTGTTGCAATCCACGATAGGTACGAAGATACTTGGGTGTAGACCGATGGGTATTTCGTTGTGGCACAAGGAGTGTATCCCCATGAAACGATACCAACGATTTCGCTGCCTTCGGCGGTGTTAATAATCAAGGGGCCGCCGGAGTCGCCATTGCAGGCGCCATCGGTGGTGCCCTGAGTATAGGTGCAAACATTGACGGGATCTACGGGGGCAGAGTTGGGCAAAGCAGCTTTGCATTCGGAATAGCCAATGATGTTCACATCCAAAGTCTGCAAGGTGTTGGGCAAGGCACCGGAATTGTCACGTCCCCAACCGAAGAGCTTACCTTTGCCGGTCTGTTCGTATTTGCCTGAGGGCAAACTAATCTTGGCCACAGCAGCAGATCCATCACGGGACAAAGCATTCAAATCAAAAGCCTCGGCGATGTAGATGAGACCAATGTCATTGGGACCCACATTGCCTCCATACAGCTCATGTGCGAACAGGTTTTGCTTTCCGTTAACGCGGCGAACTTGGACGTCGGACTCATCGCTGCGCAAATGCAATCCAGCAACCACTTGGAAGTCGTTGTAGATCAAACAATGGGCTGCAGTCAGAACCCAGTGTGGATCAATTATGGAGCCAGCACAGAAGTGCGAGGAGGTCTTCAGTGACACAATGTAAGGTGCTTCGCCCTTGGCCGCAGGTTGGCCGTTGATGATGCGTCCTTCAGGGAATCCTGGTTGGACAATGGAGTCTAAGCTGGCCGCATGAACGCCCGCAATGGCCAAGGCAGCGAATGCAAGAAAGATCTTCATTTCGATTGAGTTGTACGTTTTACTGTGACTTTCGGTTTCATGCCGTTGGCTTTATATACCCCAAAGTGAATGCGAAAAGTGTCAGAACACTTCATACTGACCACGCTATCTATCCATTGTTTATTGAACTGGCCCACATTGCACTGTCATGCGCTCAGAAATGACCATTTATGGCAAACTCAATGGCCTATTGCACTGCCATAAAAGCAATGTTATCGGCTAACGACTTTTTACATTTAATTGCAATCCCAGTCGTCTGAACTCTAATCAGGATCTGTTAATCCCTGCGCCAAGAGGTGTAAATCAAAACTCACGCCAATAAATAAATAAATAAAATCGAGGATTGATAAAGTTTGATATTGCAAACGATTGGAATTTTGTTTGTCCGAAATTATAAGAAATTTACTCAGCGAGAGTTTTATACTTTTATGATTGTGCCGATCGTCCCCTTTCCGCTCATTGAGTCGATCTAGTTAAGAAAAGTCTTATCAAACTCCAGTCACGGAGACCGAGTCGCGACGCCTATAAATTTAGTCACGTTCCAAAATATTTAGCGACTGAAACCAACAAAAAAAATATTTTAACATGTTTTTTTTGGTTCAGGTCATAGTTAAAGTCCGATCGAAACGTAGATTTTCAAGAGATTCAGGAATGAAGATGTAACTTTTATTGAGTTCGCCCATTACGTCTAGCTTCCTTGTCCATGGCAATTTAAGACTAAGTCGTCCATAAATGCTAATTACGGTAATGTATTTGGTCTATAAATAAACGGCATATACACGGTTCAATAACTATATAGAATATAAAAACAAACTATATGGAACTGGTGGCATTAAAGGGTTAAACTTATCATCTATGTTTAAATGTATTTGTAGTATGTCGTATCGATTGTTTTTTATTAATTGTATTTCAGTATATAAAACACATACACTGGTTATCTAAATTGCTACCAAAACAGTTGAATCGACACCACATACCTGTCGTTATTATTTCGTTATTTATACCTAGCTTGGTTCGGTTTTCGATAGGTGACGTTCATTGGTTGACGCCATCTTTTAGTACATTTTGTCAAAAGACTGCTGACAGTGCAAGAAGTAATTTTTAAAAATCATTATTGAAATCGGAAGGCTTTTAATTAGAGTCAAAGAAAAACTATTGATGTCTTAAGTCGGAAAAGATCCCAGACGGTTTTGATAACCCGCGGACAAATTGTCTGCGTTGCTATAAATGGAAGTGAAAACATGTTTATTATAAAATTATGATATATCTTGAGAATAATATTACAAAAATGCTAGTCAAAACTAAAAACTTAACAGTCCTTGTGGAAAAGTTGCACAAGTTGACAATAAAGTCAGTAGGTACCACGTCAAGAAGAGACAGGAGAAGTGGCAGTAGTGAAGAACATGTTCATCACCGAGAAATGACTTGACAAAAATATCTTTGTTATATTATTACATAAATAATTTAAAAACACAAAGTTGTATCCACGTTTAATGTAAAAGTTTAAGAAGTCTTCCGATTTTCGGCCAGAATATAAAATTTCTACCTTTGGAAAGATCCAAAAACCAATTCATGTGAAATTTATGCAGCCAGTTTAAGCCGAGAGACAAGTCCGATTTCATTGACAGCCATATGTCACAAAAAGCCCCTTTTGGGGGGCGTTAAATGTTAGCTTTTAAATAAATGCTTGTACACTTTAGTTGCAACTAAATGAGCAAGAGTCCCGATATTGGACTCAGATATAGAATTTACATATAAATGCAATTAATTGATAGGAAATCACAGAAGAACTGTCGAAAATGTTTTTAGCAACCAACAAGTAAGCAACGGCTATAGTCGTGCGGGACCGACCATGTGAAACCCTACAACAAGCCCACTTATGACCAAATCCATTTCGGAAGATTTCGCTTTTGAAATTATGTCACGGAGTACTGCCCAGCATTAGCCCTAATCCTTCCCTTGTGAAAATTTTCTTGAGGATCGGACGATAATTGCAAACTGTATATAATATCCCCAACCTGTGTTGTAAAGTAAAAAAATATTACAAAACAATCACTTCAATATTATAAGTCAAATTGAAAAATCGCATGCGATAAAAAATATGAAAAAATAGAAAAAGGTCACAAAATACTACAAAATCTATATTAACATCATTATTGGTATCTTCTTATGCGATTTTTTTAGATTTTATACTTTTACGCCAAGAGGGCATTCTGAATTGACAAAATTTATCAAAATCGGTCCAGCCATTCTTGAGATATAAGCATTCTAGGTAACATCCCTTTCTTTGTATATACACATATCCGTAACTGCAATTTTTGGTCCATTTCGACCCTTATATATTATGTGATCATCTTCAAAAGCAATAGGGTTCTATTCCGGCTCTAGCCCCACCTCCATTCTAAATTTCGTGAAGATCGGGTCATTATTGCGACCTGTAGAGTGATTACAAATTAACACCGACAGACGGACGGACATACATACATAGCTAGATCGACTCAGCTCGGCGAGATAGGAAGATCCATATATACTTTCCTATGTGGGGGGTCTATATTTCGAGGTGTTACATAATCTTTGGCCCAATTAAACTTATAATACTCTCACCACATAGTGTTGTAGGGTGTAACAACTAAAGTACAGCAGATAAAAATGCAGATAAACCGAAAATACTGCACTGGCAAACGTCTGGTAGTTTGAGAAATTTTGTGTGGCAAATTAATATGAACTTGAGATTAAAAAAAAATCTCTTCATATCTGATAAAATGAGGTATTTATAGCTTATTTGCTCAAACTTCGACATCATTTACAAAATTCAGTTTCAAGAAAATAGGCATTTTAAGTTATCGAGTTAAATTCGACTTCCCTAATTTAAAAAAGAAAGAAATTTTACAAGAAGTAGTATAACAACATAGACACATATATGGAAGGACTTCACAAATTTCTGCGTAAGATCAAGCATGGTTTGAAGTATTTAAATGATTCATCAACTCAATAGACTGTTTTGTTGATTTATGTCACAATCCACGTAAAGAAGCTGTAACTCCCTAAGTTCTCCAATATCAGATATATATTTAATTAAACATATTTAATAGAAGGATAAATATAAAAGAACTTCGTAGACAACATTTAAACCCTTTGAGTAAAATAGCGATATGTATATAAACAATTGATGACGTTGATCGCTACATAGCAAACGAAACAAAATTATAAATTTCAAATTTTAATCGAAAATAGGTTTTATTCTGCCATTTTTTAACCTCTTTGATTGAGAAGGTACTTTTCGCGGAACCTCACCGTATGGCGATGATAAATATTCAATAGTGATTTTAATTTATTATATATTTGTATTAATTTTATATATTTTTTTTGGAATCGATAGAATACTGTAGATAGCATCGGAGGCACTAAATATTAAATAGCCAAGTACTTTCGGCAACTGATAACGGGTTGGGTATAAAAGGAACCAAAATCATTGTCAGTTTTGCTTTATAATCGAAATGAAGGTTGTTATTGTGTTAGCTTGCCTTGTGTTGGCTACCGCCAGTGCAGGCACCTTGGAATCGGTTTCACGGCCTGGATTCCCAGAGGGTCGCATTATCAATGGCAAACAGGCAAAGAAAGGCGAAGCTCCGTTTATTGTTTCGCTCAAGTACATGGGTGAACATTTCTGCGCTGGATCCATTATCAATCCACATTGGGTGCTGACGGCAGCACATTGTTTAATCTACCATTATATCCAAGCTATCGCCGGATTACATGCTCGAGACGATGAATCCAACATCCAACTCCGCTATATTTTTGGTGAACACTACATGTTCCCTCACGAATTGTACGAGGGTAACGTCGGTCCCTATGATATTGGTCTCATTTACATTTCGGAACCTTTTGACTTAAACGTTGTGGCCCGTGCTAATCCTGCTCCCGTCTCGTTGATCAATTTGCCATCTGGCAAATATGAACAAATCGGCAGAGGTAAGCTATATGGATGGGGAAGGGATAATAGCGGTACGCTTTCTAATGTCCTGCAGACATTGGATGTGGACATCATTGGTTATTCTGAGTGCAAAGCTGCATTGCCTAGCTCGTCGAAAATAGCGCAAGGCAATATTTGTACTTATACCGAGGGTCTGACTGATGGCGCATGCAATGGCGACTCCGGCGGTCCATTGATTATCGATACAAAGGAAGGCAGGGAGTTGGTTGGCATTGTGTCGTGGGGTTACACACCTTGTGATTGGACATGGTACCCGTCGGTCTACACCCAAGTATCATCATACCTTTCGTGGATCGATGGTATAATCAAAAATAACTTCACTTAAAAATGGATAATAACATTAAGTATGTCACGGAATGGGTTACAATTGTAATAATTTTGAGACATTGGAATAAAAATACACTCCTGGCTGATGTAAAATTAGCCCTTGATTTGTTCTCGCCTTCCAATTTTTCATTATTTCCCAAGGGTCTGTTTGTGTATTGGTGAACGTAGTTAACACGGTTTCGTTAATGCAATGAGTGCCCTTAGAAGTAATTTGATACGCATAAAATCTAACAGAATTGTTCATAGCACTTGTTGTTATTGTTGTAGGTGTTTAACTAAGTACTGTTTATTCCCTAACTTGATACATAATATAGAAAATAGATATTCATATTATTCCAATTGACGGTAGATTACCAAAGCATGTGTAATTGCCGTGCCCTATAAAACTTATGAGCTGCATGCAACGAATACCCTATTGAAAGGCAATGCAAATAAACTACTTTTTTCATTGTCGGTGGGCTGAAGAATAATGGACTATTCCTTAAAAAAATACCAACTACCTACTTTCCTTATTACCAAGCATAAGTAAAGCTCGACTACAAAACTGAAGGTTGTGAGTTCGAGACTCGGTGTCGGCAAACAAAGACAAATTGTTGGCTACGTAGATGTAAGACTTCAAACAAACATTTGGGACCACTTCATTCTTAGAATAAAACTAAACTACAATAAAAATAATGGAAGTTTTTACCACTCATACATCTTTCCATATAACATCTTTCTATATGTCCGTGATTTTTATGGCGCAACAAGTAAAAGGGCGAACCAGATATTAGGCCCAGGATATAAAAATTAAGATATGGACTTCATGTACCTTCGCAATACGCTCGTTTAGAATACGATACTATTCTTCGGAGTTCTCATAACTTTCCATGTTAAAAGCGATAAGAAATAGTTGTAGTTCGTAGCATAATATTAACTTATTTCAAAAGTATATGATGCATGAATGTTTAATATAAAAAGTTGAATACATATCTGATATTACGAAGGCATTCTGACTGTTTGTGAGGGTAACGTAACAATTCAATCGACTTAATTTCTCTTCTCAAATATGTCCAGGCTAACGTTAGTGATACCAAAAGAAAGCAAATAAGTTAAATTTTAATGGCTCTTTCAAATAGTGGTAGCACGAATTTAAAGTTCCGACGTTAAACAATAGTAAGACAAGGGACCTTCTCAAAATTGGAAGGTATTAAGAAAAACTAGACACAAATGATCGCTTTGGTTGCCGCTCTTTTTTCTCATTCACATACAAACATATTTCGTCGCACATTTCGATTTAATTTTTGCTAATGCATTGTATGAATTTGTAGGGGTCGCCTATAAATATGCCAATGTATTTAACCGTATCAATAGGTGTATTGAATCTCTCCCTCTTATCATTTCGTTAGGTGAATGAGTGTATGTAAGAATATTTACTTGAAGTAGGTAAACTTAAAAAGGAGTGAAAATTAATTCGTAATGCGTAAATAATGTACTTTGAGACTACTGCAGTCTGGACAAATTACATTTCATCTCAGTGTGTGTGTGTATTCTGTATTTGAATTAATATCAAAACCGTTACAGGTTTTAAATCCGAAACAATTGATACGATTTCCATAAGGTTGACCATTTTACTTACATCATCCCATTTTATGAATTTTTCTCCGTCCTGCAAAGACTGCGATACTTCCACCGGTCCAGTTGATACGTATGTGCCTGTGTTTAACATGTTCCCTGTTCTTTATCGCCTCACCTTCGTGCACCTTCTTATAGCAACGCTGGCAGTTGCGCCCCAGAAATACCAAGCCAACCAACTTTACAGTTAGCTTAACGCGGACTCTGCTTTTGACTCAGTTCGGTGTTCTGTTTTCATACAACACCATTACGACACATCCGCTGCCAGTGTCAATATTGAAATATGCTTGTGGTTGCGAAACAATTGTGCAAATGCCTTTGGGTTGTCCTATTGTCGGTTGGATGCATGAATCGATCACTTGTGGCAGGCACTGAAGTAAGCAGCAGCAGCAATATCTGTGTCTGGGGCTGCATAAATTATATGATCTGACTCAAATCTTTTCTATATGAAATCTGAAAAGAAAAGCCAAACAGAAAAAAAACATAAGTTAATTAACATTTTTACAGCAATAACAATAAAAACAAGCACAAACTAATTATCCAATTAATGTTAGACTAAATGGAGCAAATTATTGAAAAGCATATTCTTAATTTGCCACAATATTATTCACATTGAGTAATCTTTGCAATCTAAAACAATCCTTCTTTATACCCCCAGCCTTACAACTACAGCCTTACAACTATAGATCATTTGTACGGCCGAAATGTGCCTAAACTTATATTAGAGCAAGTGTGAACATAAGTGAAGGTTTACCCGATTTAGTTCAAACATCTAACAATTTAGATAAGAAATAGGTCAGGATGGAAAATTGGCAATATTGATGCACTCATTCATATACCTTCCTCATAGAATACTACAAGTAAAAAAGCAGCTAATGTCGGGGCCGGGCCGAACTTTCAACCATTTGGAAGGAACTTTACATTTTTCAAAAATATCGTTTTAATGATGAACTTTATACGTGGGCTATACGAAGACGTGGACCTGCATGAGGAAAATCGATGTCAATTTTTCTTGAAATTTGTATGCGTTCTTATAGCTCTATCTATATTGGATCTAATGTGAAAATGGAATTTATCGGTCCACTATTTTTGATACATAACCCACAAAGTTTCAAAAAAAGTCATACATGTATCTAATATATACCGAAACGAGTATCCGGGATAGTCTAAACTTGGTTTGTGCTAATATTTATGCCAAACATATGTCAGGAGCTGTCATGGAAAACATTGACGCACCACTTTTTGTACCTCCACAAAAAGGGTAAACATTAGGAGTAATAGTAACTCTAGAGTAAAATGTTAAATCAGTTTTCGATGCACGCACAAACTTCACATATCGCACATGGACAACATTTTAATAAATAATAATTATTACTTCCAAATTACATCCCAGTTTCCTTAACAATGGAAAGCATTGCATTATTCGTTTTAACTACAGATCTAAAGTTGGGCAATAGTGGTTAAATGGTAAAACCAGTAAAAGAACGAGAGTTGTCAGTTACACCGAAATGACTTCTTTAAAGCTACACTAAGGAAACTTTAAATAACAAGATGGTACTAAATAACCCAATCCGAATCTGATAACAACTATGGATTGCAACAACTTGGAATCATATACGAGAATTAGTCCGATTTAGTTATTCTTTTAAATTGCTTCAATCTGTTTGTTTTGTCATACACACACATTGTTCATGCTTCGAAAATATTTTGAATGGAAGTTTTTTAGAAGAATTTTCGTCATCAACGATGGTGAATATGTTTGTATTTCTTAACATCGCCATAATATATTTAATAAGTTTTTACGATTGTTTACAATTTGAGAGAGATGCGAACACCTGTGAACAGGGACATAAAGGAAACCAATTACGCAAATATGTGGTGGAAAGTGAAAATTTGATGTCAGCATTGTGTTAAAACATCACTCATGTCCGAAAAAAAACATGGTGGTAAAAGAGGCAGATGACTTGAAGGAAAACCTTCCTTTCCCCCACTAATGCGAAAGACGACTTCCATCTTCAACAAAACCTAAGCCTAACAAAAACGGCAAGGACACAATTGGAAATTAAGCAAACATTTTTGCATTTTCCCTCCACTCGGAAAGCACACCTATTAGCAAGCTTGTACTGAGAAATCCAACAGCAAACAACTGCTCCTAAATACCAGGGACTGAAACTTTTTTTCTCAAATTGCTTTCCTTGATTTTATTACGTTTTGTCCTTAATTTCGAAATAACCTTGTTGTCATGTTCCACTGGTATACGTTCCCTCAAATATCCCCAAATGTTATCAGCAGATACCTCAATGGCAGCATACATTTCCTACTACCTATCCTCAGCAATTTCCGTTTCGTATAAAAAGAGGAAATAAAGAAGAGCAATGCACAGGCAGCACGAACAGGCGTGCTTTGAAACAAGCTGAATGTTGTGAAACTGAAGCGTTTTCTGTCTGAGATGTATACACAATCCAAAAAACAGGGGTGCACAAAGGTTTTCCCCCGAAGGATCGGCCTGCAGGAAGAAAAGTTTCAAAGAGGTTTGAGACATAATTTACTATTTGTCATGTAGGCCAGGGATTTTCAAATGTTATACTTAAGGTGTATCGAATTTCTAAAATGTTCGAGTTGCTGCTTAGAAAAGCAAAAAGGATGTAGAGAATTTGGGGTTAGAGTTTCGAATTGTTCATAACCTGAAATGAAAACCAATTACAAAAATGTATTTCGCTATCCGTGTTTATTAAGAAGACTTAATGAAGATATGGACCCAGCGTATGTGGCGGACACCACGGCAACTGCACCGTGCAACTGGCTCAAGAAGGTGTGTCAGAATTATTTATAGACATGTGATCGATATTATTTTTGGTACAGAGGTTTGTAGCGTGTAAAACACAATGTAAATAAAATTAATCTCAGGATAGGTCCATGTCTGGACATAGTCATGTTATATAATTAATACCGATCAAATTATTGCTAAAAGGTTACTACAGGCTAGAAAAAAAAATATAGGAATATAGAGATTTTGACAAAAGGGAAGCGCACAACATGTAGCACTTATTATATTTGGAATAGGTGTAGAAAATTCATGAATGTGTGGTTGGATTCCTTAGTACTGTACAATAGACACAAGCCAATTTTTATGTTACTTCGTCGGTGTCATGCTTAAGTGTTCCATACTGGCAAGTTTAACTGCCATGCTCCTCCAAAATGAATTAATTGAAATGGCACTTAGTGTCCAATAAATTTTGTAGATGCATACTAAACTAATTCTCTATTTACGAATATTTATTATTATATGTCCACATGTGTTTGAGTAGACACGATCTGTTATTTTTTAATCATTGAATTATATCTGCTATTTTTGGCACACAAATTGTGGGTACGCATAAATTTGACAGAAAATATTGAACTAAACTACCACAATACAATATCAACAAAGTTGTTTTTTAATATTGATATTTGATAGAACTGAATACTTTTAAGCGCAAAAAGGTTGAAAAGTCAACATTGGCTGTGATGGAAGCATGAATACATAAGATGTCTTCTAAAAAAGCCAGCTTTTAGCAACCACTCTTGTTTGGTTTCATATAAAGTTCGACCAAAGTCCTATAGACTTACAATACTTTCCGTATATGTGATGTGTGTAAATTCTAACATTTGTCTCCTTTCAAATATGGAAGTGGGATGACATCAACTGATTGGACCTTTTGAACCCCTACCGGTATCTGCTTCCAAATGTTTTCAAGTCAGCATATATTAAGATTTGGAAACATGTCGAGGTATTTTGCATAACAAACCAATCCACGGCTATTTTATCAGCGAGAATTTGTTGTAAAACATCCCTGACACCATTCGCCTTTTCCCATTTTTACAATTTACCAGACACCACAAACACACACATATTCCACTACTCATACATACGCACCATAGATATCTGTATCTTCAGATTTTCACTGTTCATTCTGGTTGATAATAATCAATAAATCAATGACGTGTAAACATTTTCATATAAGTATGTGTGTGTGTGTGTGTGTAATTTGCATTTAACACACATTACCGAAAGGCAAAACAAAACAAAAAAAAACGGCATGAACGAGCAGCTTAAACTGAAACTGAAATTCACAACAAAAGGGTTTTTGATGTTATCTCCACGGTTATCTATTCAGCGCTGTTCTTTCCAAGTATTTTGTGGTCACCGATGTTTCCGACACAGTAGAAGCAAATCTAAATTTAAACCGTGTCTATGGGAGGCTTCCTTAATACAGCGTGGCTCTTTCGTCCAATGTTTTCATAATCTTAATGATAGCACTTCCATTGTGACTAAAAAACTGCCATTGGCCAAACCATCAAGCTGCTTGTTCGTTTTTTTAATACAAGTGTTTTCGTAGCATATTTACAGGCTTCTGAATTATTCCAATGCCTGATACCGTTATTATGTGGACTCAAGCTGATAGTTTACTACAATAAGCAAAACATTGCACCATGATGTCAGGTGCAAATCCTTTGGTCAAAAGTCAATTTTTTTAATTGTTTAATTTAATTATGAATACAAATACTCAAAAAAGACCGTAAATATGGAACAATTTCTTACGGATGTGCAGCAATTAAAATAAAAAATATACAGGGTGAGATGAAAAAACTGCAACCAACTTCAGACTGCTGGCATTTCCACTAGTCCAACAGCTGTTAAAATTATTCCAGTGACAGCATCGTTTACAAGTGTACAAAAGCATTTTGGTGAGAATTTTCCAGAAAAAAAGTTATTCGCGATAGAATCCAAGCGTGATTGTGTGATTTCTTTATATTTGGCTGGAAAACAAAAAATTGGCTATCGTTAAAGCACTCCAGCATTTAAATCTGAATAAATCCTTTGTGTCTCGTACCATCGCTCGTTACCTTGATACTGGTAGCGTAGAACGACGTCAAGGAAGTGGACGGAAGAAAACAGCAACATCAGCAGAAATGGTTCGAAATGTAAAGAAGCGACTTTATCGAAACCCGCGTCGCTCGGGAGGCTCGTGAGCTGAACTTATTCGGCAAATATTGAAAAATGAACTAGGTGTAAAGCCATTGGAATTCCAAAAAGTGTAAGAACTTACATTCGTTGTCCAGCAGTTTGTAAACAAACAAAATGATCATGTTTACTTGCCACAGAGATCAGCTGAAAAAGTGCAGCTTCGGTTGGCCATCAGAACTCAACCGCCGGCCATGGTGATGGTGTGGGTCGCTCGTATTAATCGACCGTGGTATCAGAATAAACGCCGAATATTATCGCGAAAATATTCTGGAGGGTGTATTTAAGCCTTGGGCACGCAAACATTTTGGCCTCAGACCCTGGACATTGGCACAGGACTCAGCACCATCGTACTCAGCACACGCGACCCAAGAATGGTTACAAAATGAGTTTCCTCGCTTCATTTCCATCGCACAATGACCACCAAAGTCTCCGGATACCAATCCGT